AGGTGCGTTCGACTTCATGCAGCACTGCGCAGACCGATCGGCGGCTGACTTGAAGCAGTGCATGCCGGTTAGAAATTTTGTCCGACTTGAACAGGCGCCGACGCCACGTCACTGTCACGTGTGGCATCAAAGTACAGCGATAGCGTTTCGAGAGCAGCCGGCTGACTCAGCTGGCGCAGCTTTTTCAGAGCAACTGCAGGAGCACTGATGATGAGACAGCTGTTTCGCGATTGGCCAAATTCACCACATGACAACAATGACGTGTGTTTCTAACATCTTCAAATGCAATACTGCACATAAATCTGTTTTTAGAACAGTAAAAGCTTTTTTACTGTAGTCGCAATGTTATATTGAGTCACGTTTATCATGAAAGCATATATACCCCCACTTTATTAGTATTTAAATAGTATATATTTACTTTGAACTTTATTCTTGAACAGATGGCGCTGTATTAAGCAGTATATAAAAAGTGTTTCTGTTGCTCATAAAAACGTTTCTGAAACGTCTGTGTATTTGACAAATATTGCATTTAATTCACTTAATCTGTGATAGAGTATGCAAACACCGCGCGAGCGTCACTAACAGGAGTAGAAATGTACAGAAATGACCCTCCGCTACTCTCGTTGATCGCCGTCTGTAGCCGTGCTTCTAGTCGAACGCACCTAACGAGTCTGCGCAGTGAACACACCAGTACGCCACGCCTGCCATGACGCACACCACAATTTCATTATAAGCATCAATCAAGATGGGAGACACTGCGTCATGTGTGCTGGGATGCAGTATTTTGCACTTACTTTGTAGTAATAGTGTTGACTGAAATAAGTTTGTAAGTTTGTATTTTTTGTTTTTGGAGAATCATAATATCTCTTATCTGTTGTATTTGAGCAGGACAGGGATGCACTTTGGTGAAACATAAAACAAATTCCCAACATTATGTGTCTTTTGTGTCTTTCCATCATGTTTGATGTGCTTGCAGATCACGAGCATTTCCTAATTTCACTTCAGAATTTTCCAGCCAGCAGTGTTGCCAATTTGGGGATTTTGTCGCCAAATTTAGCTACTTTCTCATTGTAGCTGCGACTTTTTTTTTTTTTGCGAAAAGCAGCTATTTTAGCTATATTTCCATAAAACTAGCGATTTTTTGGAGATTTTTTATTTTTTACTTGGCCACACCCTGCCGTAGGCCCGTAACCTCTCACGTTTGCTCTCAATCATGCCAACAGGTGCGTTCGACTTCATGCAGCACTGCGCAGACCGATCGGCGGCTGACTTGAAGCAGTGCATGCCGGTTAGAAATTTTGTCCGACTTGAACAGGCGCCGACGCCACGTCACTGTCACGTGTGGCATCAAAGTACAGCGATAGCGTTTCGAGAGCAGCCGGCTGACTCAGCTGGCGCAGCTTTTTCAGAGCAACTGCAGGAGCACTGATGATGAGACAGCTGTTTCGCGATTGGCCAAATTCACCACATGACAACAATGACGTGTGTTTCTAACATCTTCAAATGCAATACTGCACATAAATCTGTTTTTAGAACAGTAAAAGCTTTTTTACTGTAGTCGCAATGTTATATTGAGTCACGTTTATCATGAAAGCATATATACCCCCACTTTATTAGTATTTAAATAGTATATATTTACTTTGAACTTTATTCTTGAACAGATGGCGCTGTATTAAGCAGTATATAAAAAGTGTTTCTGTTGCTCATAAAAACGTTTCTGAAACGTCTGTGTATTTGACAAATATTGCATTTAATTCACTTAATCTGTGATAGAGTATGCAAACACCGCGCGAGCGTCACTAACAGGAGTAGAAATGTACAGAAATGACCCTCCGCTACTCTCGTTGATCGCCGTCTGTAGCCGTGCTTCTAGTCGAACGCACCTAACGAGTCTGCGCAGTGAACACACCAGTACGCCACGCCTGCCATGACGCACACCACAATTTCATTATAAGCATCAATCAAGATGGCGGAGGAAAAAAATGAACATCTTGTTTTAACCACGGACACAAAAGTTATACCACAATTCATGCACAGTCATGTCAACCAGATACTGAGAGAGAGACACTGCATTATCGTGTCATGTGTGCTGGGATGCAGTATTTTGCACTTACTTTGTAGTAATAGTGTTGACTGAAATAAGTTTGTATGAATTCAGTTTTTGTTTTTGGAGAATCATAATATCTCTTATCTGTTGTATTTGAGCAGGACAGGGATGCACTTTGGTGAAACATAAAACAAATTCCCAACATTATGTGTCTTTTGTGTCTTTCCATCATGTTTGATGTGCTTGCAGATCACGAGCATTTCCTAATTTCACTTCAGAATTTTTTGTTATATTAATCTTTTGTTATATTTTTTATACTGTCATCATTTCATTTGTAAAATATATATATATATATATATATATATATATATATATATATATATACTTTCCTTTACCAAATTTACCTGTATTTACTTTGTTTTCATATTTGGTGACTTTTTGTAAAAAATTTACTTGAGGGTGGTTCTAGAGATTTTCTGAGGGAGGGGTTTGGCAACACTGCCAGCCAGCCATGAGCCAGCACCTCCTGATCCACTAACTGAACTGTAGTAAACGCGATACAATGGCAATGGCAAAAGGAAATATTGGTTTAATTAAGCCATATGTGTTTGAACCAGAAATAAGCTGGTATGCTTAACATAAGCAAGGAGACTGATGGCTAACTTCGTGAGGTAACATTATCTATCTTAGCGGACAACTACAGTGGATACTGTAAAAATGCCTTGAAGACTCAAATGCAGCCAAGTTTGAGATTCCAAATCGCGCCCGCGATCATACGCGTGTGATGTGTGGATGTCAATGCGGGAGAGGTGCGTCTGACTCCGGGCTACTTTTACACTGCTGCCACGGGTTATAATGCAAGTTAGCGGTTCTAAATACAAATAATTAAGCGCTAACAGCACATGATATTGTGAAAATTGGGGGAAATATTAACAGTTAGCGAAACATCTACAGAAAAAAATATAACTGTTACCGGATTAACCTGGCTGCCTTCTCACTAGACCCTCTGTTTTGCAGCACAGTTACTGATATGCTAAGGATAGGATCCCTTGACGCGATTGAATTTTGTGACGTAGCAAAAAAAAGTCTGTTTCAAACCGCGTTTCTATGACTGCCTTTGGGAAACTACCGTTTTAAAGCAGCACTATGTAACTTTTGGCGCTCTAGCGGTTAATAAACAGAACTGCACACATCCCGCGGAAGAACATTCCAACTGGAGCTACTTCTCCAAATTTATGTCTATGGCGATTCACGCAGGTATGTGTTACTCTGCAGAGGTGACGACCCGACCAGGCTACAATACTCCAAATATAAGTACTTATTATAAGTGTACCGTAGTGATTCGGAATAAGACAAAAACGTGGTTTGGAAGATTAATTCATGATGTACTCGCTCATTATATACATTTTACAAATTCTGAACACAGAAAAAGTTACATAGTGCTGCTTTAAGGAGAAAATACTCAGCAATGGTGTTGATAAATGGATTGGCACATGGTTTGTCTAAAAGCATATTAAAAACACCACATAGACAAATAAACAACATTTAAAAAAACTTGATTTTCACCACAGGGGGACTTTAAATAAACATGCATGTGTGTGTATTTATATACACAGAACACACATATATTATGTAAACAAAAACTTTTATTTTGGATGCAATTAATCGTTGCCCAGCACTATTTTAAAATATATATATATTTTTTTAAAGGCTAGCGGGTGAATAAGTGATATAAATTTGTATGAATTTTTGCAGTGATTTTTGACCTCTTGTGACAAAAATAAAGAACACAGGTGTTGCATCAAATGTACTCTTCTGTCTAAGTAACAAACCCACTGTCTCTCACCAGTGTGTTTCTTTTTCTGCCGTACAGGTGATCCCCAGCAGCGCGTGCCGTATGCCCCGCGACCCCCCAGTGCCAAACGACTGGGCACAGTGCCCTCAGGCTTGAAGGGTGCAGCATCGCTCTGCTGCTCACAGGAGGTCGTCTGTGCACCCTCTGCCAAAGCAAGTAGTACGAAAGGGATGAAATTAAACTGGGTCACTACCAACACCACAAGGACCCAAGACAATAACATTTCAGCAGTGAATTTCCCTCTGAAATGTAAGTGTCTACTCATAATACTTTGGTGGATGTGGTTCACCTTGATCTCTGTTGTCAGCGATGCCCTCTCCTGTAACTGCACTCCGAACTCCACTACCCACTAAACTGCCCTGCTGCCCTGCCGCTCCCCCGGCCTGCACAGCAGATGATGTTGCTGCAGGGGTGTGCTTTGACACTCCCCCCGTCGATCCGCTGGCACCATGGGCGGCATGTTTGGATGGGCTCTTTTGGCTGCTTGTGGCTGGTTTGCTAGAGTAAAAGGAGCTCAGAGTCTGAGGCTTATGGGTCTGGCTCTCACGATTCAGGAGCTTGTCCAGAATCTACACAAGGATGAAATCAAACATTAATAGTTTAAAGCATTCACTGCATTTTAAACATGATACACTCAGCATAAGTATGGATGTTCCTAAAGGGATAGCTAACCTGAATAAATTACGTACATTCAAAAGTCAGTAAGATATTTTTAAGAAAATTAATACTTTTCAGTATTTATGATCTTATCATTTATCTCATCTTCAGCACCATATCAGCATATTAGAAAGATCTCTGACACTGAAGACTGTAGGGGTGTGAACATACACTGGTCTCACGGTTCGGTTACGATTATCATGTCATCGATTCGGTTCAATTCGATATTACGATGCATCACAATGCATAGACAATGCACTGCATCCTCAATTTTCCATTTTACTTCACATTTATACAATTTTGTCAATAAATACAAACAATCAGATATATGAACTGTACCTGACCTGGTTTCTTAAGTTAGTGGTATTACCCCCTGCTAGTGATGTGACATTTGAACCGTGGCATCGGAGCTTGTGTCGAGAATAAATGGGTGTGCTAGATGAAGCCTCGATTCAAAGCTTGTGTTGTGTTGTTAACTGTCATATAAATCACGTGACCAATGACAAATGAAGCTTCACTTTCTGTCCAGTCACGTGCGCGATTCACTTTGCGTGTCCAAATGTTCGATCCCCCAGATCTGACTTTACGAATAAGTTTTAATTCGTACTTATTCGGTTACATTTTAGATACCCAGTCATATAAGTAATATGAAGAATACAAATTATTTCAGAAAAATTCAATATTGTCATATGCAATTCATATGAGTACATTATTCTTCTATTACATCATATTGATATTCGTACTGGTAATTAATTGCACAGTTTAATGGGTAAATGAATTTATCAGAGACAGAAATTCAACAAACACAAACACTGTTAGGCTTTTATTTGTGCACGTAACTTGAATCGATCAGTGGAATATGTGGTAGATGCCTCGTCCTATGGAGCGTCTTTCACAGGCTTTTGGCTGCTATATTTTTTATGAACCACCAGACGACGCTTGTTCCGGACACTCTACGCTTTGAATCTTTTCCCGAAACAGTCAGAGGAAAGCCTCAGTGCTTCACGAGGCTTTATTTGCCCATCCCTACCCCCTACATATTTCATTGTGCGTGACATGATTTACACACAGCTTGTGTCTTCTCCAGGTCGTGCTCAGGTTGTTCATAAAAGCCGAAATGTGGCCAGATGTCGGCTTTTAAAGTAGTTGGAGCACTTTTAAGCATAAGGATCCATCTGCTCTCTTATCGCTCTCGCGGGACTTGGTCATACACTGATCATTCTGCGCAGCGGCGCTTCAAGCCGAACGCGCCAAATGTATGCTACCACGACAAAGCACATATGCGACAAATGGCGTCAGAAAAGCGTCAGTACATTATAATCGGTTATGGTCTATTACTGAACTGATACGGAATTGTCGTCGTCTGCATCGCGATGCATCGAAGAAACAATTAATTTCGACACCCCTAGAAGACTGGAGTAATGGCAGGTGAAAATTCAGCTTTGCCATCAGAAGAATACATTTCATTTTAAAATATAAAACCGTTATTTAAAATTTTAATAATATTTCACAATATTGCTGATTTACTGTAATCTTGTGTAGCGTCTGCGTAGGATCATGCATGAGCGTTGGACTGTTTATGGCTAAAAAGACCCCTTTTAGCCTTTTGACATTTGCATATAAATTACAGTTCTGGTCAGAAACTTTACGTTTGTATAGGGGTGTAAATTGCCAAATGGTTCTTCGCCGTCAAGAAGATTAGAACCAGCCCCCACGAGCATCCTGCAATCTGATTTCAAACACATTCCACAAAGAGTTGTAAATGGCCAAACGAACACACACACACACACACAGATATAATCTAAATATTTATTATGAATCATAACCAGTTATAATTCGTCATAAATATTCCCCTTTTTAGAGCTAATAAATAATAATAAACGTTACACTTGATCAAATAAAAGCAGCCCTGGTAAGCTGGTAAGACATTTTTAAAAATCTCAACATATATTATATGTTATAATACTTCATTATATTCCAGTCCATTCACATTGCTTCAAAAGACTGTAACTTTAGCTGATGTACTGTATATTGCATGTATAATGTCAAAACACTTGCCTTTTTAAGCTTGCTTTGGTCATCTTTATAGGTGATCATTAGTGCTAGAGCCAGGTCTCCTTTCTCTCTCCGTGTCCCTTCACACAGCAGAGGATGCTCTGCCTCACTGACCGTTGTCTTCATACCTTAAAAAAAGAGAAAATATAAGAAAAGGAGAGACAATTGAAACAGAAAGAAAGAGAATATCTTTAACAAAACACATTAGTGCTGGTTGGTTTTGTGCTATTTTTTCCTTCACATAAATTGATTCTTACCAATAGCTGCTACAGCTGCATCAAATCCCAGCTCCTCATCACCAGGCATTTCATTGTTACGGTTCCGACTAGGAGGTCGAGAGCCCGTGGGAGAGACCACTGCAACAGGCAAGTGAAAGGATAAAAAAAAAAAAAAAAAAAAAAAAAAAAAAAAAAAAAAAGAGGCGGGGTTTTTGGGGGTTTAAAAAAAAATTTTTTTTTTTTTTTTTTTTGCTAAAACACAAATTTTATTTTATTTTTTAGGGAAATGGAAAGGGCTTCTTCATAAAAAAAACATGAAAAATGAGCATGGGGATTTTGAGGCTTTTAAAGAAAATTTTTTAAATGGTGGGAAAAGGTAGATGTGTGACTTACCAGGGGTGCAGAGTACGTCAAATATGAAGCTTGCCAGCATGAGAGGTAGAACCGGACGATAGTCGCAGAAGTTTCCATCACGGAGCTGCTCTGCTCGGTCCCTTATGGAAGTCATTTCTACAAGACCCAGAGGAATCTTCTTCAGCAGAGCCACCACCTCTGACTCCTGATATGCCAGCTTCACCTAACATAAGAGCATAGTAGCTCAGAATTATGGCACTCAAAATACTTCACTGGACATCAGGCATCAAAACATTACAATGCATTTTTAGTTTGTGGTGTCAGTTTCAAAGTGTAAATCTTGCTAAACTTTCCAATTTGTGTCTCAATATTAATGATATGATATTACAGACTTCCTATATAAGCCAAACCAGTCACATCCGCAACAAGAAACTAAATTGTCATATTAGCAGATCATCACCAGGTTTATGGGATGAACATAACTTCTGCTTTACCTCTAGAGCTTTAGTAGAAGCTGGCGGTCTCTGCAGCTCCAGGGAGAACATGCCAGTGTTGAATGCCAGGTTATGGAGCTCCAGCCTCTCACTCAACACAGTCAGCAGGAAGGCTACTTTAGACAGGGTGTTAGTGGCCACCTGTGTCTGTTTACTGGTCGACACCTTACTCTTTTTACCCTAAACAAGACAGAGATTCATTTTCAAAGGTGAGCCCAAGCATGATTGTACGTCACAGCTGAAACCTCTGAGAAAACACTGAAAAAAAGGCTGTTTCACTACCTTTGTCTGCGGCTGCTCCACCTTCAGGTCAGGAGGGTTAGCCAGCAGATCTCGAGCAAGATCAACAGCCAGTCGGCATGCTTCATTACTATAGCCATGAGCATAGAGAGCCTCCACACAGGCAAAAAGTATCTGCAACACACAATTTTACCATTGCAAACCTTTTAAAATTTAGCGCTATTAAATCTGAATAAAAGAACATTTTAAACAATAAAAAAGTGGTCCAAAATTAGCAAAAAAAAATTTTTTTAAATATATATTTAATTATAATTTATAACTTATAAATGATCATTTATTTATGCATCCCAGATCAATTTTCCACTGAGACAAAAATTAAGAAGATACAAGGTTACATTTAGCTCTCACTGAGTGTTAATTCATACTTTTCAGCACATTATGTGTTTGAAAGAAAAAAATTATTCACCTCCATCCTGCCCTCCTGCTCCAGAGGTTTAATCCCAGCAAAGATGTCTGGCTCTTCTTCATGGTTGCTGTCTGCAACCCCTCTATCTGCTCCCTCTTCTGATGCAGCACTAAGGTAATACGCTTGATAGTCATCTTCACATACAGCATCTGCTCCTGCTGCTGCCTCAACTGCCTGAGGTCCTGAGGCCCCTGAAACGACGCTTCCATCTCCCTCTCTGCAGCCCTGCTGAGCCTTGCCGGGGAGCGCTGCAGAGGGCCGAGTATCATCTACGGGGTCCTCATCTCCTCCGTTCTCATCCAGATCTGCCTCCACTTCCACCTCTTTCTCCATAGCTACCACTACAGGAATTGCAATGGAGCAGGCATGGGCATCAGCAGCAGAGGGCAGCACACGTTTTGTCTCATATGCATGCTCTTTTGAAGCGTTACCACTGTATTTGAGTGGCTCTCGGAGAAGAGGGCTGGGTGAGGGCAACATCTCTGGTGGAGGAGGAAGGAAATCAAAGGTGTTAGAGGCCTCCGCTCCAAGCGCCAGACTGGAACCATCATCCAGACTCAGCTCTGCCATGTCAGGCTCTAGAGAGCTGTCCTCACTGCTAGTTCGCCGTTTAGCGCTGGGGTGCTTCCCGCTGACGCCACTCGAACTTCCACATGAACCCTTGTTGCTCTGTGTAAGCTTGGCCTTACTACCAGCTGATGGGGAGGAGCTACTGGCTTTATACATGCCTTTACCTCCCTCCTGAAGTGAGAGAGAGACCCTTCCACCCAGACAAACCAGCACGCCTCCACTATTCACACCTGACACTCCTTTTCTCTTGCTCACAATGGTCTCCTTAGGGCGGACAGCCACCTCCTGCTGGAGAAGATGAGAGTTGCACCGTGACTTTTGTTCAGAGGAAGTACCTTCTGACGTTCCACTGCGAGCTCCTTCTCCTGGTTCCCCACTGGTCCCAGCTTTAGCGCCCCGCTGCTGCTGCACCGTCCTGACCCAACAAAATGAGGTGTTTTTCTTATCTGCGCCGCAATAGGTGATGCCAGGTAAAGGGTAGGCCACTTCCCAGTTGAAGTAGCAGCACTCCACAGCTGGTTTGAAGCCCTGGAAGAGTTTGTCAAGAGACTTGCGGTGCTGCCCCCGTTTCACAATCTCTATTACCTTCAGGTGCCACTGCTTTAGCTGGGCAGCAAGTTCTAAACGCCTGAAGAATCACAAATAGACAAGCGAAAGAACATTACCCTACCTTAGTGGTGACAAATACAGCCACAAATCTTTAAGTCAAGATAATCTAGATCAAAGTCACAACAAACATGAATCACTAGTTCTTTAGAGTCTAACCAGCTGTTCCAACTTGCTCACCTCTGGGGACTCATGGTAGGGTCTAGCACTGCCAGTCTCCATAAAACAACCATTTCATCACACATGCTGGCACACGCATGTGCTGCAACCTCTGTCTGGCCATTACTGCGGCCTGTGTGCCCGCTAGCACTGCTGTGAGAGGCTGATGTCCTCACACTATACCACCAGCCAATGATCTGGAGGAAATACAGAGAGAGCAGTAGACTATCATTAGAACAGAGAAGTCAGAGTAAAACGCATCTCCAAACAAATATTAATAAGACATAGTCAAAAACAAAACACATGATTTCCTTTCTGGAAATTAATTAAAAGTAACTAAATTAATTAAGTTAAAATATGAGGTTCTAAGTCTAATAAAAACATTAAATGTTATATGGATACTATAATTTTTTTAAAATATAAATTTGAAATGCTTCACTTGTAGTTCCAAATGGCAGAATATATTTAATAAACGTTTTAGGATATTATATAATTTCCCCAAATAAACCTGTATGCAATAAAAATTAAGAAATTATTATTTAGGGTGTCCACAAACATTTGGCTATAGACATTCCTATGAACTTGCTATGGTTTAAATGCAGGCACAAATGTGACAGGTGTTTGCATCAGAATGATGCGATTTTGTACACATTAAACCATCACCCTGGTGTGTGAAGTGTGGCCGGGCCAGTTTTGTACCTGTTCATAGGTGAGACACTGTTCGGTGAGGATTTCTAATAGAGGTGCAGCGTTGCTGTCTCTCCTCTTAAACATCTCTCTGACGATGGACAAAAGGTTCCAGATGCCCTCTGGCTCTCTACCTCGCAGGGGCCTCAGCAAACAAGCCCATTCGGCAGCTGCCGGAGGCTCAGTGGATGACAGGTACATGGAGTTCACATCACTGAGAACAACAAGCGAGCGACAAAAAGAACAATTAGTTCTGTCTGTTTTTCATCTTCATCCACACAACTTAAAAAAAAATAAAAAATAAAAAAAACTTGTGCAGTTTTCTCCCTTTAAAAAAAGTAACTAAATGTGTTAAGCCATTACAAATTTGAGGTTGTTTTCAATTTTAAGTGAAAATTTAAAGCAAAATCTGTGAAAAAGTACCCGACAGGGAACCTGCTCAAGTATGCCTGATTAGGAAACTCTTTTTCAGAACATAGATGATATCAGGAGACTGTGCTATAGGTAGGGCTGGGTGGTATATCAAGTTTGTACGATATATCAATATTTTCTTCATAAGCGATTCGATATGAGGCAATACCGTTTATATCGATATACAGTAGTTTGATACGAGTGCATCTGAAAATTTAGCAGAGGACACAGACTGATCTGCTGCGGAGAAAGTGCATAATCCAATTTGTTCTAAACATGTGACAAGCTTCATATTAAGGCCTTTAAAAACTGGTAAGACATAGTTTATAGTTTCGTTTCGCATATTAATTTAAGCAGCTCGGCCCATCATATATATATTGTATACATTTCGCTGAAATATTTGTAGTTGGACAATAAATGTGACATGTAGAATTTTAAACCTACAAGTAAGTCTATTTTTATGATAGCATTAACTGTAAAATGATTGTAATGGGGTAATCAAAATAGCCAACACAACTCTGTGCTTTTGTTCTCAATTATTTTCATTTTTACTCTCGTGAATTTAACTTCCGCTTTAAAAACCTTATTTTTGTTTTTAGATTGCAATGTTACAATGTTAGAATTAAATGTGATTTTAACCCTTTTTGGACATAATATAAAATGTCGCCCAGCCCTAGCTATAGGTAGTACCAGATGGGCTGTTTTTACCTAAACACAACAGGTGATGGGCCACAGAACTTGTGCAAGGTCTTCTTTATGTTGTCACTGAGGGTGGACTCATCTAGATACCAGGTGCTCTGGTCAGAGGCTGAAGGACCAGCAGTAGGATCTTTTAAACAAATCGTTAGAGAAGAAAAATGAGGATTTTACAAGGTCCTCAAGCCTTCACAGAGAATGAGAAATTTAGAAATTCATTAATTGTGGTTTGTAGGTCATTCCATACCCGGGGCTCCACACACGGTGTTAATAGCGGTAGACTGGGAGGACAGAAGCTCATCCAAAAGACGCTGAGCTGTCGGCAAGATCTGCAGATACAAAACGAATCACAAAGCCAGAAATTAATGTATCATTAAAGACAAAATAAAAAAATAAATAAAAATGCTTTGTTCTGAGATGGTGGTACTGAAGAAAAGGAAGTGAGATTCATTTTTTTCCTCAATGTACACACAGCACCCCATATTGACAGAAAAACACATTTTTTTTGCAAAATGGCTGCAATATAACAGAGTGAAAAATTTAAGGGGGTCTGAATACTTTCCGTACCCACTGTAAATATTATTAGTTATTGTTATCCGCCTTTTAAGCATTTACAGAACCACACCAAAGCCATGACCACAGAACCATGATAAAAAACAAACTGTGAGAAATCTGAGCAGTCACACCCTAATAAGGCCACTGTGTGCACTTCATCACAGTTATTTAGAGCTGTGAAAAGACACTTAGGAGCTCAGAGAAGCCATGAGCAACGAGGCCATCTCTACAATTTATAAAACTAATAAATAATGCATATCTCACCTGTTGTGGGAGTTCACTGATGAGGTATTGTGCAAACTTCTGGAGTTGATCCCGCTGTAATCTGGACAGGGACTCTGACACAGGTGCTCGAAGACACACTGCAGAAGCCTATAATCAAACACATGCCAAGAGTCACTGATATTAAAGTTGGCACTGGCTGACATATAGAACTGAAATCAAGCTTCAGTGCTTTAACTCCCACTCACTAGTGCAAACTAAACCAGGAGCAGGCTGCTCATTAGCAAATACTTTGATGTCTTTTGATGGCTGTCCCTGTGTGCCATCACCTGGTACTCTCCTCCAGCATGTCTCCACCATGAGCAGAAAACCCCTCATTTGCAAATGGCCCATACATAATATATGAGCTCCAGATAGACACGCTTTGAGCCCATCAGAGCTAATTCTCTCTTTAGCTCATATTGAGGTTATTAAAGAGAATGCGGAGCGTCCTGTGGGGGCAGCATTGTGAGCTACTGGAGTGAAATGTGCTGGCCGTGTCTGGGAGATGGAGGACGGGGAGGAGAGCAGGGTGGATGAAGGACGGACATAGAGAACTGCACAGAGGAGGATAAGGAGGACGGAAATGTTTAGGATTCCTGGACAACACCCCAGTACGACTGAGTGCGGGAATAGCCACGTGGCTCAGAGTCTAACTCTATGAGAAACCACATACTTCCATATACAATATCAGATTCAACCATCTGAAGACATTTCACCAAATGTACTGTAACTCAGCAGTTTTCAAACTTCTTGATGCTAAAAGATTCATATCATGATGATTTGGGGACCCACCACTTTTCCTAAAATATAAAAAGGTTATATATTTTATTTATTAAAAGCATATTTAAGTGTGAGAAAGGCAGCTTGCACGATATTACGTAAGACAACTAACTTTGTTTGCAAAATTAAGTAAAAAAAAAATTTAAAAAAAAGTAATACCATATATAAGTAATATATAAGACACTGTGTGAGAAAGATACTGAAAGCATGTTATTAGAAAGACAACACTGATAGCAAAACTGAAATTAATTACAATATTAAAAAAATAAAAATGTTAACGTACAAAAGTCCAAGTAAATCATGAAAATATTATGTTCAATACATCAATATGTTCATTTTGGACCATTAATAATGTTTTTAACAGTTAAAAGTTTGAATGTTTTTAATGCAAGTTGCAACCAGTTTTTACCAGCACAATTAGGATGGTGGGATATATTGACAAGTTTAGCTATGAGGACAGTCTGACAGCTCACGAGCCACGACACATAAAAAAACCACACAAGCCCACTCAAATAATTAAAGGGCACAGCAATGATAATGAATGAGAGGTCTAATGGCTGACACTGTTTATTACTAGTGCATGCCTCTCTAGCTACTAAATATATAAGATCATAATTCAGTAGTACCACTGTATGTTTGAGCTCAATGGCAGGTATCTTTCTTCTTGTCTTGTTCTACTAAAGATATAGAAAAAGCAAGAATGCATTGTACTTAGTAACAATCTCTGTGATACTACTCTGCTGAGTAGGTGGGCTAAATGTCAAGCCTGAAGCATTTAAACTTCAGGCTGTGATGTGAGGAAATGACAGGTAACATCCTTAGACAGCACAGAAAGAGATACTATAGCAAGATTAAATCTAAAGTGTCAATGTCTGATTTACTGAAATTGCTGTGTGGCTGATAAAGGCCATAGCGGAACTAAGAAAATACTGTTGATTCAACTCACAATAGCAGAATAAACACTAGATCTGTTTGCAACAGAAAGGACTGCGCAATAAGAGTAAAATGATACATTCTCAAAGCTATTTGCCAAGAGACACCGAACATACAAATATGGGCAAGTGTCATGTTGCAGACACTACTAAAGCATCTTATTCTGCTTCTTATTCTCTACTTTTCCAAATGTACAATGTTATTTCCAAATGCAATGGATTTCTAGTGTCATTTACAAGAAACCAAAGAGGAGGACTGTGTATCTGTTATTTAGAACCAAACATGCAAGAAAACATTTATGCAAAATAAGTTAGTTATAATTTCCCCCAGTGGCAGCAAACAGAAGAGAAAGCCCACATGCAAATGCTAAACGCCACCCACGGCCCGGGCCGCCGGGTCTATCTAACTGTGGCAGGCCCTCCTACGGGGGGGTGGGATATCACAGCAGTGCAGATCCTTCCCTCCACCCTCCTGACTCCACAGGGGGGCATCAAACCTAATCAAAAGCTTCTCGGTGCTGTCACGCCCACGGTCACTCCGCACAGATAGAAACCTAGAGACAGATCGTGCATGTGCTTTATGTGAAATCTTCCCCGCAGATATGTCCATCTGAACCAGGTCATTGTGCACATTAAAATGCAAGTGTATATGTTGTTCTGAGACACATTGACAACTGTTGCCTTAAGTCGTTGGTTTTTGTTAATGCATTCGTTTTTTCAAACCTTAGGGGAAATTTTTCAACTACTCCACAAATGGATTTGTGGTGTTAGATCATAAACAGGGACATTAAAATATGCTTTTCTATTTTAAGCTCTGTATTTTGCCACAGACCAAATTCCAGACTAATTGTAAAGGTATTTTGCAGCAATTGCAGATTGTTTAATTTAAAGGGAATAAGGGGAAATAATACAAGAGAAACACCAGAAAAAACATATCAAAAATCTGTCTGATAAGATGATTATTTTCATGTTAAGACATTATTAAAATTCCATTTTATTTTGTTAAATATAAATTAAACAAATAAAACGTAACATTATAACATAACATTAACAAACAAATAACAAATAAAATGAAAAATAAAACCCTTGAAACCAGTTTAATGCTACATTAAAGGTGCCATAGAATGCAAAAATCACTTTTATAAGGTGTTTGAACAAAGTTGTGTGGCCGCAGTGTGTGAAAACAACCAGCCTATAATGGTAAAAATCCACCCACTCATTGTTTTATAATCCCAATAAATCATAAACAGTCTCTCCACACTAGCAGTTCCAGATTTCTCACTACTATGACATCATACTAGGGGAAAGTCCCGCCCATTTGTGATGCTCTCTGCCCTATTAGCAAATACACAGCCCTGAGTGAGAAGCAGCGGTCCACCATTACGGTTTTCTTGCAGTAGCTGCTGGAGGTACAATGTCAGCGCCAAAGAGTCATTAAAAGTGTATTGTGCTGGGATGCACCAACGAACATAGGAGTCTCCATAGACCGCTGAGGACACTTTTTAGAAGGAAATGTCCCGGAAAAAAACTGAAAAGTCCTATACGTTTGTGCTAACATTTTACGCCGGACTGCCTCACAAACGAGGGTCAGTTCAGCGCTGGAGTTGTGCAAAGATTGCTTCTGAAAGAGGGATCGATACCAACGCTTCGTGCGCAAATGTCCAGACTCCAGACAAAGTAAGCATCACGCGTCATATTTTGTTTTCCAAAAGAGCTTCTTGGCTCTCTGTAAGGTTAATGTTGCTAAAGCTACCATTGTCTCTGCCAGTTTTCACTAATGCTGCCTTCACGTGCTACCAGAATGATCATAAATAGGAATGTGGCAGTTAAAAATTGCATTTGGAAGCAATGTGAGGTCAGTAACAAAAGGGAGGCGGGAGCACCAGCTCATTTTCATTTAAAGGGGACAAACACAAAAAACTGCGTTTTGGCTCATACCCTGAAAGTGGCAATTTCAACAAGCTATAAAAAAGAATCTGTGGGGTATTTTGAGATAAAACTTCACATACACACTCTGGGGACATCAGAGAACAATTTAAAATATTGTATCAATGCATTCTATGGTACCTTTAAATATAATGTACAGTATGAAATATACAAATTTTCAGATTAATATATTTAATTGCTAAATTATTGTTTTTTAAAGATTAACTTTAGGCGAGTGTTAGCATAATTCATATGTAAACATAGGCTAAATGAAGCATGCAAAAATAAATATCCAATATCAATATCCAAAAAAAACAAAACTAACTCTAATACCGGCTAATAATTGATATGGTACCAATACAGCACTGTGTAACTGGAATTATGTGCTTCTAGAATCTCTTACATTGTGAATTCTGAAGAGGCAGAGGGCCACAACGTGGGCACACCATTTGGCTCCTGCTCCACAGGTGCAGCTGCAGGAAGTGATGCGGCACCGGTCAAACATTACAGCCACATTGTAGGCTCCTTTTGATTGGCCGGCCTGGGGCGATACTACTGTGGCACTGAGGTGGAAACCTGTTTGAGAGAACAAAAGCCTGTCAAGTCTGTGGTAACACATTTCAACTCAAATCTAGTTCACATTCTCTTTACACTCTGGATAAAAACATTCTAGTTATTGGGGAGTAAGTGGTTGTGAAACACAGTTTAATAATGAAAACGAAAACACAGTTTAATTGCAAAACTTTATTGTGTACAAAAATAAGAACCCACATTATTATATTTGCACCAAGTGCAAGGAGGATTTGGGACAATTTGGGAAACATTAATGTTTAAAAGTCTGAGGGAGTTTGCTGACTGTAAGACAATGATATAACAGCAACTGTACTGTACACAGACCATACAGGAAATGAAAGACATCTGAGATGAGGAGAGAGAGAAAGAAAGAAAGAAAGAGTCCAAATGTGTGTGTGTGGAGAGTTGTGTGTACGGGGTTGGCCAAAAGCTTTTACCACTAGATAGCGGCCAGCACTCCTCTGGCCAGCAAGAGCAGAGGTGGGGGTGGTGGGTAGTTTCAGCTTATAGTTCCTGTTCCAAATTCAACGTGCCTCCTCAAGCCAACTCTACTACACCACCTCTTTTTTTCTTTCAGTCTACCAGTAAGTGCCAAAAGCACCCTTCTTTTCCTTTATTCCTGACCCACATTCTCCTGTCAGCTGTCCCGGCTAAAACAAAAGGCCCAAAGAATTGAATAATCAATCTTGATTAAAAAAAAAAAACCTTTGTATAAAACAGTGTCTTTCTTTAATTTAGTGAATCACTGCCTGGGCCAATAAGCACATCATGACTGCAAATGTCACTGGGTTGTCAACAGTTACACATCATGAAAGAACATAATATTGGGCTACATTTACAGTGATGTAAAATACATCACTGAAATCTCTCATTAAACTGATAATTTACCTCACACACACACACACCATAAACAATTAAGTGACTGAATGTGTCTATCTGAAGCATATCCCAGCAGGCAATGCAGCAATTCTGGTGAACAGAACAGACTAATAAGTCTGTAGCAGCAACCAGGTAGTTTTGGGCATGTAAAGGCTGCTCCTTGGAGATTTAGCATTGTATTCTGACTATGAGGTTAAATAAAGTGCAATGGGAAGAGTTTTGGAAGCACTTCCCTTTTAGGTGCAGCTGTTCTGTTTCAGACCGTTCTGGCTCCACTCTGGTGAAGTGAGTGAGAACATTTGATTTGACCTTGACGGGCAGTTGGGAGGTCATTGTGGTGGGTGGTCACTGATTGACCAGGGCAGTTAGAGGAGGATGGGTTTTTTTTCTGGTTGAGGAAATTTTCAGTATCATATAATTGATCATAACACCCCCACCCCCCCCTAAAAAATTTGCTACCACGCAGTAAACAAAGCGGTGAGCGAAACAAACATAAATCAGAGGAACCAGGCACTTAGAGTGTCCAAGATGCAACCAGAACATGAAGTATGCTTCTGAAAAACAAGCTGGTTGGATTTTTACCTTCTAATTAAACCGCAAGGTCACTATTATTTTTAGAACTACTGACACATCTTACCCGGAAGCATCTGACTCATTTAATAACTCACTGCTAATCTTGAGCAAAAAACATTTTATATTTGACAAATTAAATTTACTTTGATACACAAAATACTACGGCCTGGTTTCACAGACAGGGCTTAGGTTAAGCCAGAATTAGGCTATAGTTCAATTAGGACATTTAAGTATTTTTTTTATAAAAGTGCCTTAGAAAATAACATTACTTGTGTGCATCATGAGACAAAACAATGGCACTGACATATTTTAAGATCAGTCAGTGCAAGTTTCTTTCAGTTAAAACAGCCCAGTCATGCATTGAAGTCTGGTACTATGCTTAAGCCTTGTCTGTGAAAGTGGGGGGTACATCAATGGAAATATCCAGAGAGCAAGGTGAACAATGTTTTGCCAATAATGTACATTATACAATTTCATTTCTTTTGTATGTCTCATGTATTACCATAAAAACAAATGCATAACAATAATAATGTTAATAATAATGCATAAAAATAACAAAAAATGTTTCTTGAGCAGCAAATCAGCATATTAAAAAAAATCATGTGACACTGAAGACTGGAGTAATGATGCTGAAAATTCAACTTTCATAGCAGAAATACATTAAATTACAACATACATTAAAGGGGTCATATGATGCGATTTCAATTTTTCCTTTCTCTTTGGAGTAGGGATGTAATGATTAACTGCGAGCCGGTTGAAAATTGATTTAAATGTGTGACGATTCAAATCGGTTGAGATGCTAAACAAATCGCGATTCAATTAGGGGTAGGAGTTTATATGAATGTATGTTTGAGGGGAACTTACTGTCTTTCGATGGTATTTTTTCTTTTCATCTTGCCTCTGTATAATGCATATCAGGGCTCCAGACTCATTCTTCCCACTGGTCGCTCTTTTGCAACTAACTTTCTCAGTTTGTCGCTCCAGCACACTGTTTTGATTCTCATCTGTTCTTGAATTTCTTTAGATCGCGGCATGATGTGTTGCTCTTTAAGCATGCTTCACAGGTTCAGACAGGTTCTATTTAAGTGATTTCTTGATTCAGCAGGTCTGGCAGTAATCAGGCCTGGGTGTGGCTAGTGAAATTTAACTCCGCTTTCTAAAATAATGTGGTTGATTGCAGTTCTTTCATGATTTAACAGGAGGGGGCAATTCATTTTACACGTAGGGCCACGTAGGTTTGGACAGCTTTTTTCCCTTAATAAATGAAATCATCATTTAAAAACTGCATTTTGTATTTACTTGCATTATCTTTGTGTAATATTTAAATTTGTTTGATGATCTGAAACATTAAAGTGTGACAAATATGCAAAAAAATAAGAAATCAGGAAGGGGGCCAACACTTTTTCACACCACTGTATATATATTGCGCTACAACATGGGAATATTCAATGGATGCTGATGTACTTTTATCATAGTTTATAGTTACATGGAAACGAAAGTTGTTAACATTCAACCCGTTCTTTATCATCAGTAGTATTATTTGTGATTTGAATTTTGTGAATGGGAGTTTCTCTTTTGCTGTGTTAAGCCGCGGGCTTCGGATGCTTTCACTTTCGAATTCACGATCTTGTTGTTACTGTTTTGCTTACATTTACACACAGATATTTTTTATGCAGTTTCACAAAACTGAAGTCAAACCATTCTGTTTTTGCTTCAAATTTCGAAATGATACAATATAATTTAGATTAAAAACTGCTCATGTTGCATGTATGCAGCATCTTTGTTTGGATTGTGATTAAAATGCAGTGGTTGCCTCTAATTTTAAATGGAAAGAGCACAGACAAAGCCTTAGTTTGTTTATATAAAGAGATTTATTTTATTTGTGTTATTTATTTGATTTGGGGTCCAGCCCGGGGTCGTCACAAGTGGATGCCGCAAGCCTGCCGGACGCTCCTTTGTCGAATTCTCCGGCCGCACCGTTCTCAAGCCCGCCGCCTCTGCTCACTCTAGCCCTCTGTCCGTTCCTCACTCTAGCCCCCGGCCTCTGCTCACTCTAGGCCGCCGTGTGAGAAGATGTGTTTCGTTGTGAAAGTGAAACTACTTTGTTTGGCCTTCCAAAAATGGACACGACTAGAAATCAGTGGTTAAGTTGTATTTACAACACTGTTCCAGAACACTTCAACCCAAATACACAACGCACTGGATAGCAGGCCAATCACAGCACACCTCGCTTTTCAGACCGATGAGCTTTGTAAAAATCGACGCGTTTCAGAAAGGCAGGGCATAGAGGAGAAACAATAATGTACAGTATGTGGAAAATAATGTGTTTTTTTAACCTTAAACCGCATAAACACATTTCATTACACCAAATAATGTTCTTTTTAGCAACATCATATGACCCCTTTAAACAAATCGAAAACATTTTAAAATTGTAATAATATTTTACAATATTACTGTTTTTATTGTATTTTTGACCAAACGCAGCCTTGGTGAACATAAGAGACTTTTTTGAAAAATATTTAAAAACAAAATTAGCGACCACAAACATTTGCACGGTAGTGTATATTGGTACACTGACAGAGTTTAAGGCTATGTTTTATTCTTTTTAAGAGGTATCTACACTCTATGGGCAGTTTAAACACTCAGTGAATAACTCTGTGAATAAGCACGCAGGCAGACCCCTTGAGGGTGTATGTGCGGGATTGGTCAGGCTCGGGCCAGCTGCATCATGATTTCCCTCTGCTGCTGTACAGCCCACTGCCTCCAACAATAGCATTCTTTCACACGGCCTGAGCTCAAATCACTCATACATACAATCTTATGTGCCATGTCTCTGGTTTTCTCTCAGGCCAAACACAACGGTGGCTTATTCTGAATGCTATTTTAAGATCTGCATCTTAAATTGCATCCTAAAATTCTATTTTAAGATTGAGGTCAAAAAGCATTTAATGCAGCAAAGCAACTTTCAGAAGCTTTTGGTCAAAAACACAGCACTAATGACATGGTAAATGTGAGATGTCTTTGATTTCTCACCTATCTGTAGAGGGTCTTTCACAGCCCTCACTCTATAGAGCTGTTCACCACGCTGGAACTCATCAGGGCTGCCATTGGCCAAACAGGAGTATAATCTGCCAGGACAGAGAGAAGATCAAACTTAAACTGAGCATCCCGTCATACTCTAAATCTTAAAGGGCATTCTGGTAACTCACTGGTTAATCTTCTTAATCGTAAAGGTCATCACTAGCATTTGAAAGCAAAGGCTGATAATATATTAGCTATTACAAGACTTTCACCTGATGTCCTCCTCGTTCTCTGGAAAGCTCCAGTAGGCAATCCGCAACTGCAGCTGCTCAGGAACGGGAGGATAGACCTTTTCCACCACCTCAAATGGAATATGGAACGCCACCTGCTTGGCCGACAGCTCCACCAGAGGGATGACTTGTCCATCTAAGAAGCGATATCAGAGTTACTTTTTTGTTGTAGGTAAACTACATGCTTAAAGAGTGAAATTAACAGCATCAATGGATATTAAGCAGAAATATGAAGGCGCGTTCACACCAAAACACTTTAATTTGAAAGAATGCCTATTATCATGCCTATTCAGACTGAGACTAACAGCCACCAGATTTATTTTTAAGGAGAGGTGTTCTAATCTCTTTGCCATTGTACTGCAAAGAAAACTGGCCAATAGGGTTGTGACGGTGAGGACATTTTCCCACCGGTTAATCGACGTTTGACAACACCAGTAATACCGGTATCACCGTGGGGGCGGGGGCGTTCCCTCTTTTTCTCGCTTTCCTTAGCTTTTAAATAGCTTGTAAAAGTGGCGTGCGCATTTTACTTTCACTTTCAAATAGCGGCAAATCGGCGTAAACCAATTGTTAGTTTTTAGTTCGTTTGAATTTTCCCTATTTTCCTTCGCTTTTAAATAGTTTAAAAGCGCCGTGTGCATTTTACTTTCACTTTCACGAATTAGCGGCAGTTTGGCGTCAATTGCTTGAATGCAACAACAAAATACAACATCAAACTCACTTTAGCCTATATATAAAACATAGAACTTTTATTAACAAAACAAATAAAAATACACCATGCTAAAGGGCAGGCTATGCCTAATGTAAAATAACAAATAACTTACATAAAGTTTAAATAGGTATACAAAACTGGAAATAGGCTAAGTAAACATATATAATATATATATAACCAAATAAATAAGAAACGTTTATTAGCAAAACGAGTAAGAAAGCATGGAGGCACGGCATATACACCTTGATGTCAAATAAAATAAATAAAATGACACAAAGTTTAAATAAAGTAAAAATCAGCAAACAATGTGGAACCAATTAAATAAGAAACGAACGTTTAAAAAAAACTTCCAAAATCACTTTAGATAAATGGCAAAAGTCAACAGGCTTTTCAAAATCCAAAATATTGCCAAACAGGCGCTTTTGCATTTCATTTCAAAAACTAAATCATTAGCGATCGTCTAGTCTGTCTCACCTCACTCAACCAATAAGATGTGCTTTTGCACTGTAAAAAAAATGATTTGTTTAAAAGAAAACCCTACACCAAAATTTTTGCCCAGAACCACTGCTTTTATATAAAATTACGATTTGGTGGCACTCGCAAACTGACTATTTTGCCAAGTGAAAGTGAATAGCAGACATTGAATCCAGAACCAGACAGAATTGACCACATTTTCAAGCTGGTGTGAACAGGTCTTGATCAGTATGGTGATAAAATCACTACGTTCCGGTCACAGCTACTCAACATTAAACAATCAAATACTTGGCATTATAGGCAAATAGCTGAACAATAGTCACATAGATGGCTGCAGTTCAAACGACTCATTTTGAAACAGAGGGAACAAGACTGAGAAGTGAGTTTCAAGACCTCAGACAACCTATTTTGTTGTAGACTGTTCATATACACTCAAGGCTAAATAGAGAGAAAGCAGGACAGCTGCCAACAGAGACTAAATGCTGTCCACTGAGAGTTGTGTGTGTGTGTGTGGGGTGGGGTGTATCCCAGTATCCTGCAGGGTCCTGGATTCAAGTCACCAATTTCCTCCAGACAATGATAAGAGTGGTCAGGCTGTAAGAATGGAAAAACACTCAGATAAAAGACACTCCTTCAAGAGCAACTGAATATTTGTGCCTACAGCCTAAAGTGAACACAGGTTTCAGTGGCAGCGCATATAATGAAACTTTATTTTCTACATTGAGCTGCAGGGCTGTAGTGACATACTTATCTCATTAGATATTAGCAAGATCCATCTGAAATGAACATCAACATAAGGAGGTCATTATTATAACAGCTTTAGGCAATTGGACTGTAATCCACTGCACTCGGTCACCTTAGAGCTGGATCTCACATTACACTCAGGCAGACATTGCACTCATATACAACTGCCACATGGAGATTTCACATGGAGCCATGCTATATTTTTCAACACATTATATTATGACTACACCATGTCATGCTTAATAACAACTTTAGACTTGACTATGCTAGCATTATAGCACAGCCCTTAAGTGTCTTAGTATTTTTATAAAAGGGTTATTTATAATAAAATATTAAGGACACACCTGCAAGGTCAGAAATTAACTTTTACATAAAGGGGCAATATTTGCCTCTGGAACTGGTAAGGGCAATTTTAATAATTACCTTATTAATCGATTTATATAAACACACTTATTCATTCAAGAACAAAACAAGTGACTCTTTACAGGCCTGTCCCAATACCACCATTTGTAGTCTTGGCCACTTAAAGGGTTAGTTCACCCAAAAATGAAAATTAGTCCATAAATTACTCGCCCTCAAGTCATCCTAGGTGTATATGACTTTCTTCTTTCAGACTAATCCAGTCGGAGTTATATTAAAAATTGTCTTTGATCTTTTAAGCTGTTTAATGGCACTCAGCGGGTGTTGCAGTGCATCAGTCCAAAAGAAGTTAAATAAAAAGCGCCAATCCATATAAAAAAAAGTCTCTAACATGGCTCCGGGGGGTGAACAAAGGCCTTCTGTAGCGAATCGATGCGTTTTTGTACGAAAAATATCCATATTCAAAACTTAATAATCACTTTAATGTAGCTTGCGCCAACAGTTGTACACGGAAGCAGTTCCGGGAGCATGAGGTCTGAGTTCAGCTTTGCGCACGTGCCGGTGAGTCTCGTGAAAACCAACGTTTGTTAACAGGAGCAAAGGAGGCAATGTTTCCTTACTTTAGCAAAGGAAAACCAGTCTCCTCTTGGCTTATATCGAAATCCTCCGACATTCTTTTTTTACAAATCCTCGTTTTGTACTTCTAATAAGTGTTTTGTTTTGATCTCTCCCCTGCGCTTCCACGTTCGTCACTTCTGAGCGGCGCATGATACTTCATCCGCCCAGAGCTGCTTCCATGTACAACAGTGAGCGCAAGCTAGATTAAATTGTTCATTACCTTTTAAATATGGTTATATTTTTCTTACAAAAACGCATCGATTCGCTACAGGAGGACTTTGTTCACCCCCTGGACCCGTGTGAGACACTTTTTTTTAATGGATGGGTGCTTTTTATTTAACTTCTTTTGGACTGATGCACTGCAACACCCGCTGAGTGCCATTAAACAGCTTGAAAGATCAAATACAATTGTTAATATAACTCCGACTGGATTCGTCTGAAAGAAGAAAGTCACACAGTTAGGATGACTTGAGGGTGAGTAATTTATGTGCTAATTTTCATTTTTGGGTGAACTAACCCTTTAAGTCCATGTGCACATGACAGTCCCAGGTCTGATACACGCCAAAGCTCGGTGCCCTTAACACACACTAAATCCAAACTCTTGAATCATTTATTCAACAGACTCGTTCAAACACTCTGATTCATTCAGGAATTAAACAACTGACTACGAGCAAGTCATCGGATCTTTCTATCTACTGATTTGTTCAAAAATACCGATTCATTCAAGAATGAAAAAATCAGTTTTTGCTTGAAGATGCACAACATTTTTTCAGCACTGACATTTGGAACATTTTCCATTTGCAAAGCAAAAGTTTACAATGCAAGTTATTCAATAGAAACTACTGAACCACTGAATAAAAGCAATCAAGCTCCTCAATTTTAAGATTCTTTTAAACAGAAACACACCATATTCATCTTAGTCCATTAGCACAAAGTGTGCCCATTCTACTAAAAATGGGTCATGTTCCGCATTATTTTATCTAGGGTTAAATCAGCCACCCATAACCAAAAAGGGCAATTGTCAAGTAATGTCAATAAAAACACAATATTAACCTCACAAAAAAGTATGCCAATAACTTGCAACTTAATATTTTACCATTACTGTTCATCAAGTTACCTACAGTACAACCTGTTGTTTCGGCTGTCAAGCAAAGCATTAAAATAAGTGTCATCGTGATCAAATAGTAGATGCAAATCACACCATTACGAGACACCCACATAATCGAAAACCAACCACCAAAAGATGAGATGCTAAACCACTTTGGAGATGAATTACCCAGACCACAAACAGATACAAGAATACATTATAGTCAGACAGTGGGAGTCAAAGAGACAACGACTTCACAGGGGACAGGTGACTCATTAAAGGTGCTGCCAACAAACAGCTGCTTAGCAAAATAAATGTGTATAAATGTGAGTGAATGAATCAATGAATGAATCAGGTGGCACACTCATAGCCAATCTTGGCTGACTAAACCATGGTGACCAACAGAATAAGAGTTAACACAGGCTGAGAGACAGCTTTGTCTTTTGTGAGGCAGTGAATAGGTGAGACAGTCTCTCATAGGGCTGCACGATAAATCGAAATGGAATCGAAATCGCGATTCGACAGAAGCTGCGATTGTCATGTGTATCTTTCAGTGAAGCACGGTTCTGTGATCAGCAGTAAATCTCCATCCAAAGGCCAGAGGGCGCTCTCGCGCTGAAACTCCAAATATGCCTTGCAGAAGAAACCCAGAAAATGCCAATAGTGGTAGCTGGATAAACAGAAGGTTGAACTGCTTTTATTGATTCAACGTGACTAATAAACACATGATTTTGACAATATATGGTTTATCCGAGTTGTTATTATAATTTTCATTAAAATAAAGTATATTTATAATGCAATGCCTTTATCACTGCTTAGAATACTATGAAATATATTGCGTGCCTTATTCTGTGTAAGAAGCCACATCATCTCACAAAAGGATTTATTTCAAACACTCGACTGACGTTATGAAGTGAGTTTGGAGTAAAAATATGTTATTAAATGTGGTATTTTCACATGCTTTCAGATGGAGCAGCATTTACTACACAGAGCCGTAGTTCACCGTGAAGCTATGCAAACAGCTGTCATTATCGCGAACGATTTCTTCGATTTTTTTTGCGTAACTTGTCAGTGAACTACGGCTCTGTGTAGTAAATGCTGCTCCATCTGAAAGCATGTGATGATGATTTACTGCTGATTACAGAACCGGCTTTACTAATCGCATTTGATTAATCGTGCAGCACTAGTCTCTCATAAGTGGTCTGCCGTCCCACTGCTCCAAACTCTACCACCTGCTGCCCAACAACCAGAGAACAAAGACAACCAGCTCACAGAGTGCTATATAATCAGCCACGTCTGAGCGATCGTGTTCCCTCAGTTCCAGCTCCAAGAAAACGGGCACGTGAAATACCCGATTTACTTTTAGAACTGATTCGGACAAAAACCAGGGGGATTTGGTGTCTCTAACTGGGCTGTGCAAGATTAGCAGCATTATGCAGATTGATCAAATGGGGCTTTTTTTTGTTTAACCACAATCCTCTGCTCTGAGGCAGTGACCTGCTCAAGACAAAGCTCTTTTATCAGCTCTCTGCTGCTCAACTCCACCCAACCCCCCACAACACTCACTCGCTCTCAATCTAAACACCACACAAGGCCTAACTCATCCAACAAATGCTCCAGACTCCGCTCACGGATCTGCAGCCGCACAGATCTCTGTCTTCACGACTGACAACTCACTCTACACGTGCACAGCAAGGGCTTTTCAGCAGTTTAAAGAACTTGCAATAATACAGAGTTAATGGCCAAAGTTGTTTCATACATCATTTTAACATCACAGATGAACTGCAATATCCAAGCTCTAGATTTACAGCTTAGAGAGGAATAAAAATGAAGGATACTGTAAAACAACATTTTCACAGAGAGAAATTTAAGTTAAACCAGAAAAAAAGAACTAAAAAATAAGTTATTTTGAAGAATGTTAAGGTTCAAACAACATTGGATCTTACTGACATTCATGGTTTGGACAGACAAAAAAAAAACTGACTTTTTTTTCTTTTGCATATTGCAGAAGAAATTAAGTCATGCGTTTGGAACAATACGAGGGTGAGTAAATGACTGATTTTTTTCCTTGTAACTTTACTTTTGTTTGTGGTGTTCAAGTCAAAATTGAGTCACATTGAAAAATTTACAATACATTTTTTTTTCTGATGAGGGTACAAGAGATTTTTAAAAAAATACTTAAAAGAAATTATGAAAGAAAAAGTCATTAAATACAGATGCAATAACACATTTCTAGTAATAAATATATCAATAATTTAAGAACTTAAACAAAAGGGGTCTCCTTTCCCGATTAATTTCAATCACTTTTGGTATTTTCTTAACATCTCACATATTTTTAAAACAACTTCTGTATTATTCTGCTATTAGTTGTTGGGTGATTTATTTATTTCTATACATTTAAGTTTCATTAGTGGAGTCAGCCATTGTCAAATAAATATATATATATATATATATATATATATATAATAAAATATACAAAATAATATATAAAATATATTATTTATGTTCAACGTAAATATAATAAAATATAACTCTGATACATACAAAGTTAACTAATTTGACCAAAAAGGCCCATGTATGAAAGAACAGTTAAACTTGGTAGTTTTGAACATGCAGGTCACATGACAGTGTTGCCCATAATTTAAGAATACATCTTGAGGTCAAAGGTGCAGCCATGCCAAGGCACAGTGTGCTCACATTACAATGACAGCACCTAAACCACTTCACAGCACATGAAGACAATCTTCCATTACCTTTAATCTTCACAGTGGGTGAATTTGGGCCGGCTGACTGTTTCCTCCATCCTCTCCAGTTCTGGCAGAGACTTTCTGCCTCTGATATGAATGAGCACAGGGAGTCCTCCTCAAAACGATCCGAATCTTCAAAGGAGAACCTCTCTCCATCTTCCCACTCAGCGAACATCAGTTCCATCACATCTGCTGTGTGGAGACCTGAAAGCTTCAACTGAACGTGCCTCTGTTGTTTTGAGAGAGTGACACTCGCTCAGGGGGAGGGGAAACTCACACTCAACCCAAACACTGTGTGAGGGGTCCTGCAAAGTCTCTCAAGAAAGCCTGTGTTTCCTGAAAATATATATTTAGGGTGTCAAACGGAGGATTTGCACACGACTGTGGTGCAGTTAAGTGAAGTTAATCCATGCTTTTAGACCCCAACTGCTGGAGAAACTCAGGGGCTTAGTTCTTGAAAAAAGTGACACAACCCATAGCTAAGATTTCATAAACTTATATACTCCTCAGTTTTTTTTAACCTAAGTGTTGTCTTACATTGTCAAGTGTGGACCTACAGGACAAAAAACACTCTAGAGATGTATCATTGGACCTTTGTTGAGGTTTAAATCTTATGAAATAAGATTCTTAAATCAATATGCCCCTCTCCAGCGGTCTGACTGCCCGTAAGTACAACCTACACAGAAACTAGTGTTAATTGACAGCAACTGTAGAGACTCACTTGTATGAAAACATGTTAGTACAGTTCAGGGCGTTTTAGCGAGCATGAGTTCTTTACACTCAGATGTTAATTTAAACCCCCTCTCCTCTGTTTGTCCTATCAGCTGAGCCTCGAGTCCCACAGAAGCTCTACAGCTAACAAAACAAGAGAGCGCTGAAGAAAAAACAGGTCCCCAAGTATAACTAATGACCTTGCGCGGCCTTATTTCTATTAAATAAGGCCATATCACAACAGTAAACAGGTGTTAACCCAAAACAACCCCTGTACGGTTGTTTTTATGTCGATCGAGGTAGCTCTGCTAATTCTGAAAGGCTAGTCGGTTAGCCTGCTAGCTTTCCGGCTTGCCCGAAATCCCAAACACTTCAAAAACTGTCAAAATAAGCGCTGACACGAGCAGTGCTTATATCCCTACACATAACCAGACGGAATAACACTGTTTTGATGTTTTGACACAAAAGCCTTGGTCCCTAATCCGAGTCTTGTCGATCCACTGGTTAACGTACCCAAAACAAACGACTCGCCAGTGCTCTTATCTCAGCATTGTGCCTCTATGTAAGTTTATAGTAAAATCAGACGACTAAAATGCAGATTTGACCCCTCGACCAGGACAAACGCCCATCCGTGGAAAACATAATAAATTGTCTTTATGCCACCTCTAGCTGCCTGATATATATGTCTTCTCCTTTGTGTGTAAAAGCTTGTCATCCGCTTGTCTTCATGTGTCACCGGCCGGTTCTTTTCTAGTCCTCCGTTTCTAAGCAGCCAGCGCTCTCTGGATCTAAAATGTCTTTTTAAGCCGACAATTTGGAGTCGAGATCCCCCTGTTCTCTCTGTCCTGTCCCCCTCCTCTCCTCTGCTCGGGAAGATGAAGATGGCTCTCCAGCATCAGCTGATCCGCACTTCCGCTCGACATTAAAGCAGACAAACACTAGTCTCGTTTCAAAGCATTTTGTCTTGCATAACACATTTTATGGCAGTTATTTGTTCATTGGTATGTAGGTCTGGTTCTAAATTATAAATAATTTAGAATGCATTTCAATCGTTTGATTTACCGTAATACTTCAGTATCAACAACTAAATAGTGTGCAACAGATTGCCATGAGTGTCTCGGACTGATTTGGGACATTACAATCAAATAGCCTAAATTAATAGCAATAAATTAATACAAGATGGTAACTTGTTTAGAGCCTCTTTGATCTTTGAGCGATGCAAGCCAGAGTTTAATGTTATTGGTATTACACAATTTTGTTGAACCCTTTCTGACCCTCAGACCCAGAGTCCAATCCAGTGGACATCACTTTTATGTGTGTGTGTGTGTGCGTGCCTGTTTTTCTATTCTGGTGGGGACTTAAACCTGAATACACACAGACTCATGGGGACTCGTGTCACGGTGGGGACCTAAATTGAGGTCCCCACGGGTAAACAAGCTAATAAATTGCACATAATGAAGTTTTTTGAAAATCTAAAAATGCAGAAAGTTTCCTGTGAGGGGTAGGTTTAGGTGTAGGGTTGGTGTAGGGCAATAGAATATACAGTATGTACAGTAGAAAAACCATTACGCCTATGGAGAGTCCCCACAAGGATAGTAAACCAGACATGTGTGTGTTTTAATTTGGTGCCACCCAAATTGAAGGTTTATTTGCTTGATTACATAATAGTAATTACATATGGTGCAATGATGCTTTTATAATAACATTATTTCTTTTTTAATTAAGTATTTGGCAGCATGTAACAGACAAATAAGCCATCATTCTAAATCTGTTTATCTTAAAATAAGTAACTGAAATTGGTAAGATAAATTATACTACTTATAATTATATAAATTATACTAAATTATACTGTGATATACTATATTATATCACAATGGACATTTAATCAAAATATACAATTCAAAAATATATAGATTTTTATTTGATGCCGATATTAAAGGACAGTCTTAAAATATCTGCAAAACCGATAATTTTTTCAAGTCATTCCAGTAAATATATGTATTTAGAATATATATTTAGAGAGAGAGATTTACCATATATTAATAACAATGATTTATATTCAAATCCCTTTCATTTATTTAATTACAATGAGCCTGTTCCAGTATAGTTAATATGGTCAATGACGATTTTCAACATTTAATACAAACATTTAATGTTGAAATGAAATGATCATGATGCCAGAACATTATGCATTTTTGATGGACTTGTTTTTGCTTTCAGATGACCATTTTGCAGAACAAAAAAAATTAAAATAAAAAAATAATGAGGAAACAAGGTCATGCGTTCAAATCAGTTTATCTCATTTTTCCAACTTGGTGTCTAAACATCTGACTATTCACAGTTTTTCTAAACCAGTTTTTAACCGAGGCTAAATATGAACTATTATCAGCCTTTACATTTTTACATAATTACATCAAAGTTTCTGTTGGGGATTGATTAATAACAGTCCGTTCATAGAATATTAAGAACCAAAGCATCTACATCATTTGAACCGTTTGGACTACATGGAATTGTACTTGGTATTGTGTAAACTTGACTAATTACTAAAGTGATCTTCTCCATCTCTCTTTCTGTCAATGCCTAGTTTCAGTATTTCTTGATTGGGACACCAGCTGGAACAAAACAGCACCACTGTTATAGCTCAATTCATTAATCAAAGCAAGAAACAATGAATTTCTTTCACATGTCTTCTTGTTACGTCAATAAATACAACAATAAACCTGAAAAACACCAGAAAACTGCAGGAAGCAAATGTAACATCACTCCAGCCCCTCTAACAGAACTTCAATGTAATATAATGACTGACAGAAGTAGGTTAACAGATGACATATCGTACTTTCAGCAGCAGATTCTGACCATTTGTGAAATAGTTTTGTGTAGTTTTAAGTTTAAACTTCAAGTCTGTTGCCCTGCAATATGTGTTTAATTTAAAACAATGTACTAAGGAGGGTAACACATTAGTTTAAGGACAAATTCTCACTAGTCACTTATTAGCATGCATATTACTAGCATATTGGCTGTTTATTAGTACTTATAAAGCACATATGAATGCCTTATACTGCATGACCATATTTTAGACCCCTTAATCCTACCTCATGCCTAAATTTAACAACTACCTTACTAACAATTAATAAGCCAAAGTCATAGTTAATACTGAGAATTGGTCCCCAAACTAAAGTGTGACCCTTCAGAGCCCCTAAGGAAACATGGTGATGGAAAAAAACAATATGAAAAATTGTATTTCATTATATTGCGTTATTTTGCAAAACCTGTGTTCTTTCACAAAAAGTATTGTGTTCCCCCAAGAAACTTTGTATTCACTTGCAAAAACATTAAATCTATAGATTTCCTCCCATCATAGTATTTCCATGACCAGTTTTCTGTTCACTCACAAAATGCAAACTTTCTTGGAGAACATAAAAATTTAGCAAGAAAACACAAACGTCCAGCAAGCAAATGCAAAGATTCACAAGGGAATGTAAAAATTTAGCAAAAAAAGGTAAATGTTTGGCAAGCACATGCAAAGTTTCAAAGGGAAACAAACATTTTGCAAGTGAACGCAAAAGCATTGATATATAATTTGTATATTTTGTCCATCACCACGCCCCCTTCGGGGCTCCATAATATCCAGCCAATTAACAGTCCAATTCTTCATATCACTGATATTATCACATTATCTGTTGGGTAGGAGCTTGAAAAAAAATCTTTGCATTGTTATATGTATAAATAAACTGAACATACTATTTTCTGACACTGGATTTCTGCATCCCCTTGAAAAATTTAATTATAAGCTCAATAATGGTAGTCATACCCTATACACCTTCAACAAGAGTACAAATAACCAGCATACAAGTGGAATGTTCATGAATCTTTACATATATGCATGTCGTTTCTTGTCTTAATTAACTCCAGCACAACAAAAGACATTTAAGCGCAATATGTGAACTAATTTAAGAACCTGATCCAGAAGAGCCAGACCAGAACACAGACCTCCCACAGATGCTCCATTTATATGGCATGCAGATTAGTGCAAAATAACTTATTTACAAAGGCTTATCCGTTGACGACCTTTCAATCCCGGAAAACTCTGCTCACTTAATGCAGCTGTCCCTCAAAAACATGTGGCTTATAATTTGTATATTTTGTCCATCACCACGCCCCCTTCGGGGCTCCATAATATCCAGCCAATTAACAGTCCAATTCTTCATATCACTGATATTATCACATTATCTGTTGGGTAGGAGCTTGAAAAAAAATCTTTGCATTGTTATATGTATAAATAAACTGAACATACTATTTTCTGACACTGGTTTTCTGCATCCCCTTGAAAAATGTAATTATAAGCTCAATAATGGTAGTCATACCCTATACACCTTCAACAAGAGTACAAATAACCAGCATACAAGTGGAATGTTCATGAATCTTTACATATATGCAAGTCGTTTCTTGTCTTAATTAACTCCAGCACAACAAAAGACATTTAAGCGCAATATGTGAACTAATTTAAGAACCTGATCCAGAAGAGCCAGACCAGAACACAGACCTCCCACAGATGCTCCATTTATATGGCATGCAGATTAGTGCAAAATAACTTATTTACAAAGGCTTATCCGTTGACGACCTTTCAATCCCGGAAAACTCTGCTCACTTAATGCAGCTGTCCCTCAAAAACATGTGGCTTCATGTTCTTGTGCAGGTTCACGAATGCTTCAAGTGTACAGAAATGGAATTGAAATGGCATGGTGCAAGTAGTAAAATGTGCAACACATAAAACAGGATCAAACCAGCTTTAAACCTAATGGCCAGCTGGTAACCCCTTCATAGGCATTACATAATATATTTTATACAATGCGGTAAGTGGTTTTAATGTCAACACTGTAACATCACGCTTTGCCAGTGCTGTGGGTGACTTTCTCTATCCACTTCAGGAACCGGCCGACCCGTGTGTACACACCGGGATAGGTGGGGTCGCCACAACCGTGACCCCAGGAGATGATTCCTGTGAGCATCCAGTGGCCAGCCTCACCCTGGCACACAAGTGGCCCCCCACTGTCACCCTGACAACTGTCCACACGGTGATGGTTCGACAAGCTGCCGGCACACAACATGCGGCTGGTGAAGCGACTGCCGTAACGTTTTTTACACTTCCAGGAGGGCAGTAACGGAACCCAGGCTTGCAGCAGTGTTCGGGAATACTCTGAGTCTAATACAAGAGACAAGAACAGAAAGAAATTTTAGCTCCTTTTTGAAGTATGTACATTTTATATAAAAAATATACGCTTCCGTTCAAAAGTTTGGGATCAGTTTGGAATAATTTAATTTTTTTCAGAAATTTAAAAGAGACATATTATGCCTCTTTTTACAATATATAATATAAGTCTCTGGGGTCCCCAGAATGTGTCTGTGAAGTTTCAGCTCAAAATACTGCACATATCATTTATTATATCATTTTGAAAATGCCTATTTTGAGTGGAAGCAGAAACACGCTGTTTTTTGGACCGGTCTCTTTAAATGCAAATGAGCTGCTCCTCCCCGTCCCTTTTTCCAGAATAGAGCTGCGCCATTACAGCTCGTACCTGTTAAAACATCTGTTTTGGTTCTGATTAGTCGTGGCCTAATGGTTAGAGAGTCGGACTCGTAACCCAAAGGTTGCGGGTTTGAGTCTCATACCGGCAGGGATTGTAGGTAGGGGGAGTGAATGTACAGCCCACTGCTCTGGGTGTGTGTTCACGGTGTGTGCACTTTGGATGGGTTAAATGCAGAGCACTAATTCCAAGTATGGGTCACCATACTTGGTCACTTTCACTTTCATCATTATCATGTTTATCGCGCTGAAATCATGTGGTTTAAACCATATGAGTTTAAACTTCTGATATACGGTTTTCTGAGAGCACACATCCGAAGCACATGGACAGAAAGCGGCTGTCACAGCATGTGAGTACTAAACTAAGTTCTCATATTCACACAAGTTTACGTTAAAAACACACATGAGTTACAAACAGTCAGTTATGTCAGTGAAGGTAAACTGCTGGGAAATAAATCGCATGTTTATTTTAGATCTAAATAGTGTTCTGTGCTCGTCTGTGCAGACAAAGGCAGAACAGTTAATATGTTTTGCTAAAACTTTCACCATGGCATCAGAACTGGTACACCGTTGTCGCTTGTGAAAGCACAATGACGGCGCCGTGGTTGGAAACTTACAGATTAAGGGGCGGTAATATTAAAATCAGACGCGCTCGTTTTCTTAGACGCTTGCAGAAAAAGGCTTACCAAAACAAAGTTACTGGGTTAATCTTTTTCCCGTTTCCTTGGTTGGTGGATGCACCGGGTACCTGATTATAGCACTTAAAACCTGGAAAAGTCAGATTTTCGTGATATGTCACCTTTAACTTTTTTTTTTTTACATTTAAAATTAAATTTAAAAAGAATCAAAAGTGACAGTAAAGACATTTATGTTACAAAGGATTTCTATTTCAAATAGATGCTGTTCTTTTTAACTTAAGTAATCAAAGAGTCCTGAAAAAAAAAGATCACTGTATCCATAAAAATATTAAGCAGCACAGCTGTTTTCAACACTGATAAGAAGAAGAAATGTTGCTTGAGCATCAAATCAGGATATTTGAATGATTTGTGACACTAAAGACTGGAGTAATGGCTGTCTTGAAAAAATGTAGCATCACAGGAATAAAAAAAACTTTATTTTAAATTATAATAACATTTCACAATATTACTGGTTTTACAGTATTTTTGGTCAAATACTGTAAATAAAGTCTTGGTGAACAGAGACTTTAAAAAAAATCTCACCAACCCCACTTTTGAACAGTACAGTATTTCAATTTTAACATTATAATTTTTGCAGTTATTTGGTTTGCAAAATTATTATTATTTTTTTACTCATATTGTTTGCAAATAATACTACTTATTTATATAGATTTTTACCCAGAATTATTAGCTTAGGTCTACCATTCCAAAAGGAAACTATTAGTCATATTCTGTAAATATGTTTGAGTTTGCAGTACCTGTAATTCCCCAGCCGGTGATAACACAGGCGACAGGCCTCTTGCCCCTCCTGTTGCTCTGAGGCGGAAGGCAAACTGCATTAGTGTGCGGGTTAAAGGCCACACAATTCCCATCTGAGCCCTTCAGCTTCAATAAGGCAATATCATACTCCCAGCCCTGGCTGTGGTACTTCCTGTGGATCACGATGCGCTCAGGAGAAAGAGTGCGCTCAAAGTCATCCCTCTCCTCTGTGTGGTAGTCGCCGAGCCGCACCACGTAACGGGAGGGGTCTGAACCAAACCTGAAAAAAGACATGTATATGCGCAGCATGTTTATTTGTTGCCTAACTGTCAGGAATGACAGACTTTGTAACAAAGTAAAGTGTTTGTCATTCTCTGAGCCACTAGATGTCAGTAGAGTTTATCTCTCACCTCTTGAAGCAATGAGCAGCAGTAATGACCCAACAGGAATTGATGAGAGTCGCCCCACAAAGTGGATGGGTGCCTTTCGATTGAGACCTCAGCCACAGAGATACTTGCCACGGCCAGTCACCCCTAAATGACAGTCACAGATGGTTTAAAACACATGTGCCAAGTTCTAAAAAAAAAAAGTACTTGCCTTGCCTTACACATCGTAATCATTATTTTATTTTTTTATATTTTTTAAATGTATTTTTAATTTTAATTTAATTACATTTTAATTTTTTTAATTTATATATATATATATATATATATACTGTATATATATATGCAATTATTTGATTAAAAATACAGTAAAAATTGTAACATTGTGCCTTTTTTGGGGTGATATGGAAAGTGTGATGCATTTATTTGAAATAGAAATCTTTTGTAACATTATAAATGTATTTACTGTCAGATTTGATCACTGCTGAATAGAAGTATTAATTTCAATAAATAAATAAAACTTTTACTGACTGTAATTTGAAATCATATATTAGAAAAAAAAAAAACCTTTACTTTCATTTTATGGAAAAGATTGGGCAGCACATTCTTCAAAAGCTCTTCTGTTTGCATTCCAAGGATGTCATATGGGTTTGGAATGACATGACATGAAATGATGACAGAATTTTAATTTTTGGTGAACTATACTTTAACTCAAACCCTGTTTGCTATCAAACACATGATTATAAAGCAAATTACATTTTCCTGTTGTAACTGTAAATAAACAAGCATTATATATTGTTCCCCTGTGACCACAGTACAATATAAGACAATAACAGTGGCAGCAAGCCAATAAACAATAAAAACAGATTAATAAACACAATGCACGTGTTTTTGAAATAGAAATCTTTTGTAACATTATAAATGTATTTACTGTCAGATTTGATCACTGCTGAATAGAAGTATTAATTTCAATAAATAAATAAAACTTTTACTGACTGTAATTTGAAATCATATATTAGAAAAAAAAAAAACCTTTACTTTCATTTTATGGAAAAGATTGGGCAGCACATTCTTCAAAAGCTCTTCTGTTTGCATTCCAAGGATGTCATATGGGTTTGGAATGACATGACATGAAATGATGACAGAATTTTTATTTTTGGTGAACTATACTTTAACTCAAACCCTGTTTGCTATCAAACACATGATTATAAAGCAAATTACATTTTCCTGTTGTAACTGTAAATAAACAAGCATTATATATTGTTCCCCTGTGACCACAGTACAATATAAGACAATAACAGTGGCAGCAAGCCAATAAACAATAAAAACAGATTAATAAACACAATGCACGTGTTACAATGTTAGTGAATAAAATAAACCATGTCGTTCATTACCGTAGAGACTTGTCTCCTCCAATGATCCTTCTCCTGCGCCTTTGTGTGTTGGGTCTCAAACCACATTCCTGCTTGCTCATGCTTCTGTACTTTACAGGTTCAGTGGTGTAGTCACAGATGACCCCCGCGTCCTCACTGTGCCTGCAATCATGGGCGTCCGGACCCACAGCTGAACACTCCCCCAACGAAGCCTCTGTCCCAACACACTTCACATTATCCAGATGGATGGGTCCCTGACCCTCACCAAAATAAGCCATGGAGCGGGCCTTCGAGACCCCACTGAAATTGTAAAGGGGAAAGAGGAACAAATAAGTGTCTGAAGATGTTGAGATGTGTGTTTATCGTCTTTCATCACATGAAACATTCTTACACAAATCCTAGCTGTCTGCAGACCACTCCAGCGTTGATGTCATTCCAACCATCATCACACACGCTGCCCCACTGGCCATTAATAAAGACCTCTACGCGGCCCTCCTTACGGCTCTCGCCATCCACCAGCCTCACCAGTGGACCTAGAACCACAGCATAACTAGAAACAGCACAAAAAAGATGGACCTCTATATACCTGGATAAGTAGTGAATTATATGATTGAGAATAAAAAAATGTAGTGTAAATTCCTTGCCTTTTTTAAAGGGTGATGTTGTGCAAAATCATATATGAAATACCATATATGTGACCCTGGAGCACAAAACCAGTCTTAAGTCGCTGGGGTATATTTGTAGCAATAGCCAAAAATACATTGTATGGGTCAAAAGTACTGATTTTTATTTCATGCCAAAAATCATTAGGATATTAAGTAAAGATCATGTTCCATGAAGATATTTTGTAAATTTCCTACTGTAAACATATTAAAACGTAATATGCATTTCTAAGAACTTCATTTGGACAACTTAAAAGGCAATTTTCTCAATTTTTTTTTTTTTTTTGCACTCTCAGAATCCAAATGTTCAAATAGTGGTATATCGGCCAAATATTGTCCTATCATAACAAACCATACATCAATGGAATGCTTATTTATTCAGCCATTTCGAAAAATTTACCCTTATGACTGGTTTTGTGGTCCAGGGTCACATATTAGAAATATATCATATATTAGGTATTTAATTGGCTATGGGCAGTTATTCGGGACAAGAATTTGGTGCCTGATTAGAAATGACAGAAACAGTTTTATGGTATATTTATATATGTATTTAATAATTAAAAGTGTTAATTAATGTCTTTTAAATATCATATTACATATCGCATTATACTACTAAATCTAAAAAATTGTCAATTTTAACAGTGGTTTTCAACCAGGGGGCCGGCACTCACTAGGGGGCCTCAGCAAACTTTCAAGAGTGCCTCCAGATGGATTAAAATTATGTAAATTAAGACAAAACAGCACATTATGGTAACAAAGATTTACTGTTTGTCATAGAACAACAAATCACTTTCTGATAAGTGCATTCATTTCTACACCATGTCCTAACCATATTTATCAACATACAACATTTTTTTAATAAGCTACATATAAATATGCATTTCATTATATGTACGCACATGTATAAGCATGTCATTACAATATAAAAGATGATGCCTTCTAGTATCCTATTTGTTTTGGAGGGCTTTTAAAAGTGTAAAGTGGACAGATATTGTGCTAAACTCTTGATGATGATAACGCTAATAAACGTTTTTACGAGTTTACACACCTGTGGCAAGAGCCACTTCAGGGATCTCATTGTTCTGTCCTTCTCTTTCACAGCGTATGCCCACATCCTCATTGTGAGAGCAGTCATGCTGCCCCCACTGACCATGAGCACAGTCCAGCAGAGAGCTCTCTCCCCCTTCACATGTCACCTCATCCAGCAGGATCAACCCTGTACCTTCTCCATACATCCCATCTGGAGCCACCTCAGCTCGCCCTCTGTTGGACAAATAGCAGTATTGCAGTACCTAAATGAAACAAACTTCCCGGTCTGCCGAGACCAAAAAAGCGCAAATCAAACTCGAAATCATCTAGCATGCAACAATTTGCTGCTTTTAAGTAGCACATTATATGCTTACATTCAAGAATTATGTTATCAACCAGGCCAAATACATAGCTTACTGATAACCCAGCTGTCGACACACCACCTGGGCGTGACGTCCGGTCCAGTTGTCATCACACACTGTGCCCCATTCTCTAGCGTGATAAACCTCAAGACGTCCTTCCCATGGGCTATCAGTTCCTACTAGACGCAACACTCCATCTACAGCAGCATTAGCATGTCTACGTTTAATCAATGCACTTATACACATGCTGATAAAAGTAAAAGGGTTTTTGGTCCTTGAAGTATTTTAAATGTGTTATCATAAAGACACAGTCTGACACAGTTTGTGCCATCTTCACCTGAAAACGGGTTGCACGAGACTCCAGCATCCTCCATGTGATCACAGTTGTGCTGGCCCCAGGGCACATGAGGGCATTCCTCCAGAGACAGCTCATTTCCTGTGCAGTGCACTCCATCCAGCATGATAGGCCCAGTGCCCTGCCCAAAGTGCGCCCAGGTCCATGCCTTTGGTACACCACTGAAAACAAACACATGCCTGTGAATCATTCCCTTATCTAAACAGTTAAGATACACTGCTGTTTAAAAGTTTGGGGTCAGTGAGATGTTTTGAAAGATGTCTCTTACGCTCACCAAGGCTGCATTTATTTGATCAAAAATACAGTAAAACTTTAATATTATTACAATAATATTATTAAATAATATCAACAGTTCAAGGAAACATGATACATTTTTAGGTAACACTCTAGAATAATGGTACGTTTTTAACAAGTAACTATGCAGGAAGTAATAGGTAGTACTACATTAACACTTAACTTAATACTATTAACTAATAGAGGAGCAAGATTAACTAAGCAGTAAGTAGTAGTAGCAAATTTAGGACAAAGGTAGTTCCTTATTAGATATTTGATAACTATTAAATAACAATATCCTCATTGAGAACTACTTGTGAACTATGACCAATTAATAAAGAATAACCAACTAATTACTAATCACAACGGACCATTATTATAAAGTGTTACCCATTTTTATTACAGAGTTCTGTGGTGAATGCATCCTTGCTGAATAAAGTATTAACTAAAAAAAATCTTACTGACTCTAATCTTTTGAATAGTAGTGTACATTAAGATCATATCAAGGAGGACGAGAGATATAAAGGCATATGGTACTATATTAGTTTATTTACATATCTTTGTAATGATACTTACATTGCAAAGTCTTTCAAAACAATCATTAGTGATGTACAGAAGAGGACTAAAGGGTAAAATCAGTTGCTCTCTATCCCACTGCAGATTCCTGGAGTGAATCCCTGCACCCCATCAATCATTCATACACTCCATCCATTCATCTATATTAATAAAGTTCACTCGCTGTGCTAGTGTGTGTAAAAAGGACAGTTCTTATAGGCAGCACTGATTTGTGCATTAAGATCATATCAAGGAGGACGAGAGATATAAAGGCATATGGTACTATATTAGTTTATTTACAAATCTTTGTAATGATACTTACATTGCAAAGTCTTTCAAAACAATCATTAGTGATGTACAGAAGAGGACTAAAGGGTAAAATCAGTTGCTCTCTATCCCACTGCAGATTCCTGGAGTGAATCCCTGCACCCCATCAATCATTCATACACTCCATCCATTCATCTATATTAATAAAGTTCACTCGCTGTGCTAGTGTGTGTAAAAAGGACAGTTCTTATAGGCAGCACTGATTTGTGCATGACATCACCAGTGTCTCCCAGCTCTTGTAAATGCTTTTAGTCGAATCATTTGTGCAAAGTGTTTCTAAATTTTGCTAAACAAAAAACAGCTCGGTAACATCCTGATGATGATACAAAAGCTTTCAAGCAACATTAGAAGACCTTGCAATAGATCAATATGTGCAGATCCTTGTACTAATGCTATAAGACACAGGTTTTTTCAAATGGAAAGCCATAACACAGTTATTGAATTTGATATTACTACAGTTTCATTCTTTCTGGTCTAAAATCAAATATTTCATCACAGTTTTTTTCCATTGAAAAATACAATCTGTTTATTTCAATGTGTTTTATACATCTAACATTACTTTAAAAGAAGGTAGAAACAATAGTTGAAATAGTTTTTGCTTTAACACAGTGACAATATAAAAAACTTTTATATTAATATGTAAATTTTTTTAAAATTTAATTTATAAAGTACAAATGTATACACAACATAATATTTGACGTCCTTGGCATCCAAAAATTGGCAAACCCCTGCTGTAGGACATACATATGATACTGATTTCTTACCCCAATCCCAACTGTCGGCAAACCACTTCAGCATCAATATCATCCCATTCGTCATCACAGATAGTACCCCACCTCCCATTATGGTACACCTCCACACGCCCCTCGAAATCCTCAAGGCCTCCCACGAGCCTCAGGGGGGCACCATTGCCTAAACAAAACAAAAGTCCAGTCAATCACTATTTCATTCATTATTTCACTGCAGTGGACAATGCAAAGGACACAATAATTAGTGTAACATTTGTAGGGTCACAAAACCAGTCATATGGGTCAATTTGAGATTTATACATCACCTGAAAAGTGATGATATAAGCTTTCCATTGGTGTATGGTTTGTTAGGATAGGACAATATTTGGCTGAGATACAACTATTTGAAAATCTGGAATCTGAGGGTGCAAAAAAATCCAAATACTGAGAAAATCACCTTTAAATTTGTCCAAATGAAGTTCTTAGCAATGCATATTACTAATCAAAAATTACGTTTTGATATATTTACGGTAGGAAATGTACAAAATATCTTCATGGAACATGATCTTTACTTAATATCCTAAAGATTTTTGGCATAAAAGAAAAATCGATCATTTTGACCCATACAATGTTTTTTTGGCTATTGCTACAAATATACCCCAGCGACTTAAGACTGGTTTTGTGCTCCAGGGTCACATTTAACACTTCTTGAGAGCAGAAGCTTAAAACTCTTCTATATGCTTCAGTACGGAATCCCTTTTGCAAGTTATAGGCCTCAGAGCTCTCAGATTGCCTTCTCCTTCCTAATGTTTCTGTGTGAATAATTCACAGCTCTCTCTAAATATACCTGACCCTGTTCTAGCAAACCGTCCCATTACAACAGGCACACTGTTTATGACCCTACTTCTGTCTCTCATTAATTTTGTCTTCATTTAGCTCCACGGAAGGCCCTTCCACACTATAACACTGTTGAAAATATAGTTATTAGAGTATGATCAGCAGATAAAGGAAGCTCAGCTGTTGCTTTATGAACAGTGACTCTGAGAAATGAAATTGAGAGCATGCGACAAAGATAACTTTTTCTAACTTGCATTTCTTTTTATATATATATATATATATATATATATATATATATATATATAAAGTATATATATATATGTATGTTAAAGTTATTAAGTATGTAATGTAATGTGTAAGTAATTTGTTTTAAAAAATATATACTGTTCATAACTTTGGGGTCCCTTTTTTTAAAGCAAGGATACATTTATATATATATATATATATATATATATATATATGTAAAGTATACATATATATGTAAGTTAAAGTTATTAAGTATGTAATGTAATGTGTAAGTGATTTGCATTGCAACATATGTATTGCTCATAAGTTTGGGGTCAGTAAATTTTTTTTAATTATTACTTTTTTTCAGCAATGATGCATTTATTTGACCAAAATTGACAGTAAAGACATTTATAATGTTCTAAATGATTACTATTTCAAATAAATTCTGTTCTTTTTGTTCATCAAAGAATCCTGAAAAATGTATCTCAGTTTTCACAAACATATTAATGTTTCTTGAGCAGCAAATCATCATATGACAATGATTTCTGAAGGATCACGTGACACTGAAGACTGGAATAATTGCTGCTGAAAATCCAGCTTTGCCATTACAGGAATACATTTCATTTATCAACATATCAACATAGAAAACAGTTATTATAAATTATGATAATATTTCACTATATCACTGTTTCTATTGTTTTTTTATCAAATAAATCCAGCCTTGGTGAACATAAGAGACTTCTTTAAAAAAAAAAAAAAAGTTTTTAAAAATCATACCAATCACAAACTTTTGAACAGTATATATACACAGGAATGATTATCAGGATTCCCCACTCAAATAAAACAAGCTTACCCTCAGGTACTGCACACACCACTCCGGCCTCATTTCCATGGTTACAGTCACCAGAGACATACTTCCTGCTCCGGCACTTCAGCAGAGAATCTTCATTGCCATGGCAGCCAAGACGTTCAAAGTGAAAGAGACCAGAACCGGGTCCGAAATAGGAATGTCGAAGCGCAGTGCCGATTTCACTGTTGGGAGTTAGCAGGTAATTAAATGACAGCACATGCTGGGTGTTAATCAGAACAGAGCCTCTAACTGATAATGAATAAAGTTTGCAACTAATACCCAAGCCTCAGTTGTCTACAGACCACACTGGCATCTCGATCAGTCAGGTGGGTGTCACACACTGCTCCCCACCGGCCATTTAGATACACCTCAAGACGACCACTCTTATTAGATGAACCCCCCACCAACCGCGCCTCACCTGGAGAACAGGTGCAGAATCAAACATATTCAGGGATTTAGGAATGATAACGTGTAACAAAACTGTTCTTTGAACTGTTCGAGTCAGATAACAAAAAAGTTATGTATTATTTAAGTAATGCATTTAATTATAATTCTTTTATTTTTCTTATCACGCTCTCTCCACAATTTTTAACATTCTAACATTTTTATATGTTATGTTATGTAAGGGTTAGGGTTATTCTAAATAATTTAATAAGTTAATTTGAAAGGTAGCCTACATCTAGCACATATTCTCCGAATGTAGCTTATCTCTTCACATGGCACGTTGTATGAACAGTAATACACAACCTTTTATTCTTTGAGAAATCCCTTTTTTATAGTCTTGTGTTGTAGATGCAGTCTTCTTTCATTTCAGAGCACACATCCTGAAATGAAATTAGGTTTTACCGCCATCTTCTTTCTTCTTGACTAGAGGACAACTTAAGTAAAAGTGGCACAACTTACCCCTGTCTCCCCCATTTACATTTACAGACTCTGTGAATTAGCTCTCTATAGTTAGTACAGAATGATCACATTAGAGACACTATGTGCCTTGCAAATGATCATCTTGCTGCCACACGTCATGCACACACAGACATGAATTTAAATACACACTCTAATTATTTGAGTCTGTTACCGTGTTTAATGTTATGCCATAGAAAGGAAAAGGAGGAGAGAGGCAGACAGAGATAATCACAGCTCACAGAGATAAGGCAAACAGATTTCAACACCAGCTCGGTACTGAACCACAGACACAGCCAGGTGATGACAGTCAGCACAAAGAGATCCAGAGTCTGAACAGACACTTTCCGAAAAGGGAGTAACAAATGTGCATGAGTGATGTGAGTCTGACTGATTATTAGACAACAAACGCATAGAGAGGAGAAGATGAATAGAAGACAATAAAAAGAGAGGACAGAGAGAATCCTCGACTGCTGTTAGCTCACTGACAGACACACTGTGGCTGTGTGCTGTGACTGCAGTAATAAACGTCACTCAGCTTCTGTACAACAACACCTACACTAATATAACAGTTATGACACAAATACTCACCAGGACACATTCACTTAATAAACACAAACACCACGGGGTCCAGGATTTAATATGGTATACTCTAACAGCCCGTTTGTATGTAAAGGCTCCTATTGTGTTGGTCCCTATTTAAAGTGTATAATATGTTTAAGAGTTTATAATGTGTAGCATGTCTTAGTTTAAAGCCTTTCTAGGAAGTTAAGATACAACTTAGCTTGTGCTTCGATCTATACAATGCATACTTTTTAGTCTTTCCGCTAAGATTATGTTTACATACGGTCTCTATACAAATAAACCAAAAAGTAAATAAATAAACCTATAAATAAATACATTTATTTAGGCTTTATTAGCTTAGGCATAATGATTAGGCATGTTTTGGTTATTATGGAGAACAATTTGTGAATATTGATAATGAAACTTTTTGAGAAATAGCCTACACTTTTGTCAAATGTACCAGCCTGTGGGTGCATTTAATATGTCTATAAGATATTTAGTGAATAATTGAACTAATTATGACTTAGTCGGGTCACAGTTTATCTCTGATGTCTAAATGGACCACAGGTTAGTCATGCTAGACTCTCTGTAATGATAACCGGCCTGCTCAACATTTTGAAGAAACAAGCCTAAGCGACCTTTTTGCACAGTAACACTTATCGATTTCAAGCATGTGTTGGATGGTTTGTAAATGGCTTTTTTCACTTTGAACTCACTCCTCCACAAAACTCAAAGTAATACAAAAAAGCTCTTAAAATGAAAATGAAGCTTTTGTAAAATATGTCTAAATGTGAAACAAAGGCCAGTCAGGAGGGCTCACCCTGGTGGCAGTCGCAGTAGGCCCAGCCGATGGCTCCTGACTTCTGTCTGAAAAAGCACCAGGGGTTGGATTCACGGTCAGGGTTTCTACATTGGTTGTGGTCGCCCAGTCCACGGTTGGGGTACTGCAGCATGTAGTCTGGAAAGTCTGTCCATTTTAGACAGGAAGAGCCAGAATCTGTCTGAGACACAGATCCATTGTAATAACCCAGCTCAGTGAAGCCCTCAGAGCAGGACAGAGGACCTAAGGGAAACATACACACACACACACACACACACACACACACACAAAGTTATAAGTAAAATTCAGCATTTTATTTATGAGAGAAATTCTCTTGACGGAGCAAAAAATAAAATTTTAATGCAGTGGCAAATGAAGGTCAACTCATTGTAAAATTCTTGGCATGAAAAAAATGCAAAAGCATGACCTAAAATGACCTTGTGTTAATTCAAAGTGGCAGTGTTGTAAACCTAAGGTGGTCTTATTAGCTGTTTTATTGTGTAACATTTTCTCTATCACTGAAAACCCCCTATTGTGCTTCCTCTTGATTCAGAGGGTGAGGACACTAGTGTGAGACACTAATGATGGCTTAATGCACTGCTGGAACAGCAAGACCTGTGAAGACCCACTATGATGAGTCACACATCCAAACATGTGTTATACAATGTGTGTGTGTGTGTGTGTGTGTTTGCATAATAATACTAATAAAACTAAAATAAAATATTATACATTTTAATTATATAAATAATAATATAAAATAAATAATAAAAATTATGTAATAATAATAATACATAAAATATTTTATATATAAATAAATATATTACATTTATTTTATATCATATATATATATATATATATATAGTATTTATCTAAATATTTTATTATATTATATATAGTATTATAAATATATTTACATCTTTTTAAATTACTTTTTTAAGCTAAAAATGGTTACCTTAGAGGTAAGGTATAAAAGTCTATGATACATTCTCAGTTAGACTGTGATGTGTGTGTGTGTATGTTGTTTAGGCACAAGGACCCCCAGTATACTTTCAAACTAATTAACATTATTGAATGATTCTGATTACTAATCTACTTTTGCTTCCTTGCATCCGTTCGCTTGCATCAAATAATCAGGAAGATCCATCTTCCAAATGATTCTAATCAAACCCATTAAATTAAACAGCAATATTGTGACTTTGGGCCACAGTGAGCAAATTAAATGATCTATTACAAGTCTCTTGTGAGAGAGCATTCTCTAATAAATGTTATGGGCTACAGGCTAGAAACACACCAAAGATGACAATGCAATTCCATGCTGTACTGTGGGCTGTTCAATTAATTTGTAAGCATTTAAACTATCATTTAATACAGCGATTCATAACTTAGTAGCACTATTCTTATGCTATTCTGCCAGTCTGTCCTTTATTTCATTTCTGGTTATGTGACTAGAAAGGAAGAAAGTCCTGGGCTTTGTGCCCATTGTCCAAGTCCAAGCAAGAGACAGATGTTAAATGCATCCACCTAGACAGGAGAAGGATATTTAAATAGAAGTCACTTCATTCGGTGCTTTGAGGCATTTATAAAATGGAATGAAATTAGGTTTTAAAAAGTACTCAAAGGACACCCTCTTTAAGGCAATTAGAGGTTACTGAAAGCAAAACATATAATTTCAGATTTGTGGCAAGTAACAACAGTTTTACCAAAGGGAACCTTATCACCACAAATAAATGTTAGAAATCTCACAGTTTTGATTTAAAAAAAAAAAAGCTCCTGAGAATTTATGGGTTTGCTATCAGATAGTGATGTGCAGGACCAGATAGAGGCCAATGTGCCCTAGTCTCTCTTTAGAAGCAGGTGACAAATCCTCAGGGAGAAAAAGTTAAGACCATCTCATACCCTGAACATTATGGGCCAAAATGTTTGCAGAGGTAATGGCAAAAATGTATTTACACCTGCATGTGTACACAAATACACCCAGCGGACACGAAGCCTAACCCTGTCTTTCCTTGTGTAGATTGCTTTAGCACAGACTTATTGAGCTAGGACGAGTGCACTTGAAGACTGATGGTCAAGATAAGCATATTAGAGCTGAAGTGCCCTATCACTGAAACTCTGTTACACTCTCCTCTTCTGTCTACATTATTCCAAATATAAGTGAAGTGACGTATGGTGACCCATACTCGGAATTAGTGCTCTGCATTTACCCATCCAAAGTGCACACACAAACCGTGAACACACACCCGGAGCAGTGGGCAGCCATTTATGCTGCGGCGCCCGGGGAGCAGTTGGGGTTCGGTGCCTTGCTCAAGGGCACCTCAGTCGTGGTATTGAAGGTGGGAGAGAGTGCTGTACATTCACTCCCCCCACCTACAATCCCTGCCGGTACGGAGACTCGAACTCACAACCTTTGGGTTATGAGTCCGACTCTCTAACCATTAGGCCACGACTTCCGCAAACTTCCCCAAAATATAACTGTAAACAATGTAAAAAAAAACTGAAAGAAACCTGACACGGTATCATTCTCTATCTTAAAAAGCATGTTTATCATCAGAGAACAGTATTGGATATCCAATGTGAGTCGTATTTAAACCTCCATCCATTATGACTGTCTCAATTTAAATCAGGCAGAAGACGATGCCATGGGTATCTAACAAAAAACCTGTTAAAAATCTAATAATTAATGATAATTATTTTCATTATAATATAATATAACTAAAATATACTAGAATACAACTAAAATATAATATAATGAAAGTTAATTATTCATGTTTTTTTTTAAAGATTACGTGTTAGATGACAGCAAAGGTCATCTAAATGTAAAATCTATTTAAAAAAATGAGAATGAGCAAAATAAGCACAACTAAATATAATTAAATATTAAAAGAACATATAAAATATATATTATATAGGATATATGTCCAATAAATAAAAAAGAAATCGAGCAATAACTGGTACTGGTATATTGTTAATTTCTAAAAATGTGAAAGTTAAACTTTACAAAAATCAGCTCATAATCCTTTCATTATTATCGTAAGTATGTGTAGCGCATAGTCGATGAGAAAATACCATAGAGCAAAAACTAAGATTTGATCTTTGATGTTTCTTTTAATGGCTTTAGCATGACTGGTCTTCTGTATGCCATAAGATTTGATAATGACTGATTTAAAAATATGTTTAGGCATTATAAATAGTTCCCATTCTTGTACATTGGCAGGTTAATAGTTCAACAGTCCCAAATCTTTTCTTGCACACACTCATGTCTTGTCTCGTGGGAGCTCAGGTTCCACTCTGTATGTTGGTCTGGACATACAGTACAGCAATTTGCTGAAATAGCATTAGGGTAGAGTTCCAGTCATATTTTCCATGGTGTTACAGTTATAGATCACGATAAAGACCACCAACAAGACTCCTGGTGGAACCACAAGAGACTAAATATAAGAGGTTTAACAGCACAGACTGCTGGTCTGAGTAAAATAAGTCTACAGATGAGGCAATCATAGAGGAATCTCACACTGCCCCAGCATGAACTGGGAGTAGGTTGACGGTTCTGTGGGAAGGTTGAGTATATTTCAGCATCCTGCCCTAAGGATGTCAGCGCACAAACCTGTCCAGGCTTGGAAGACAAGGAAAGCATCAAAGTTCACAGAATATGACTATGACACGTGCAATAAGCAAAAACAGTGGGGCGTTCAATCTCAAAGCTACTCCTCAAAGTCCATCAATGCCAGAGTTGTTTCACTGTCATCAGTAAGTGTTTGTGCTTCACTCATATTATGAGCACATTGAATATTGGGTTTCGCTTCATAGCAATCTTGTCTGAGGAGAAATTGTTGCGGGTTGAGTATTTCTTTAACTCTGCCGTAGGGAACCATCAACGAAAGTATCTCTTGACTGCCGAGTGGTTTGCATCGGTTAATGCTGTATTAGATATAGTGCCAAGCAGGAATGTGTTTTTTGGCATTGAAAGAGATGCTCTTTACAAGAACAAAATACTGATATTTCAGCCACTACGTGTCTGAATTAGGTGGCATAATTTAATTTCCCAAGAAAATGGTCACACACAAAGATATGCCGGTATATTGCCAATTCTGATGAAAAAAAGGATTCCAGCTTGCACCTTTATTTAACCTTTAAGAAATAGTAAAAACAATATATACAGTGGGGCAAAAAAGTATTTAGTCAGCCACCAATTGTGCAAGTTCTCCCACTTAAAAAGATGAGAGAGGTAAATGCAGTGAGTGCCTACCTGAAATCTGCAGCGTATTCAGGTACACAGCGCTTTGTCCTGCCTATGAAGACAAAATAAGCACAGTCAATTCACTTCTTTCACTAACACAAATGTAAACAAAGTACCACAGACATGTCGTTTTTGGCCATGTACCATGGTATTCTTTGAAATACCTTGAAGAACCATTTAAATGCCATGGTAAATTAATGGGTAAGATTTGGCTACAGCCACTGATCGAGTGGTACCTTGTTGTTCCTTCACAATGAGGCAGGAAGTCACCTTCCAAAACCTTCACCCTCTCTGTTCCTCTCTGGTGGAATGAGCTGCTGACACCGTCACAACTTTCAAGAAGTTCTCTCTGAACTTTCTCTATTCTAGCTTGTTTCCTAATTTAGCATTCTAATGAAACATGGCATTGAATATTGTTGGCTCTGTGACAAATTGCTTATGCTCCTCTATTGTATGGCGCTTTGGATAAAGTCGAAAGTTTTAATCAACCAGCTGCAGCCTTAGTCAGAGGTTTTCTCTCTGGAGGTGGTTATCAAAGGTATCTGCTGCTTTACGACGAGGAAATGTCACATAAAGACACAAGTTAATAGTGTAGAGCAGCTTTGCTTTAATTGAGATCAAAGAACACTTTCATGACCATCAAGCCATTACGTGACTGCTACTGTGTGAGCTGGGTGGGATGAAGGGAACAAGCATCACGCTTTTCTCTCATCCTGACCACACTGCAAGCATCTTGTCCCATCGTTCTCTTGTACTGTAGTCAGGATGAGAGTAAAGTGTGAAGCTCGTTCCCTTCAACAGGGATTAAATACAAATGAGATACATTACAAGAGGCTCAGAATTATGTAGACATTAAAAAAACTAAAATCATGCGCACATTAACTGTCTTTGTCCTAGGAAATGACGCCCCCCTGTGATCCTTGTTTTTTTTGTACAACAGATCTAAAGACCTTCAAGAAAAAAAACACTACATAAAACTGAAAACATGTTTTAATTTGAGATATTCTTGACAATATTACAAAGCCTTACTCTAATACCAAAACCCAAAATGACTAAAAGACAGAATTTTAAAGCTTTGTTTGTTTTTTTGGGGGGGGTGAATTTATTCGGCACATGATACGTAATGCTTAAGTTGGTATATTTTCCCAAGTGAAGGTAGTTAGGGATTATTATGTTGTGTTTTATTATTTTCATTAATATTTTGTTTATTTTATTAATGCCTGCTGAAACATCTAAAACCAGCCTGGTCTGCTGCCCAATTTTCAGCTTTTCAGGCTGCTACAGAACAGCTCAAGCTCATTTTAAACCAGCTAAAACCAGCAAAGCAACTTAAGCCAGTTTAAGATTTTTTTTTTATTTGATCAAAAAGGGAATAGATAAAACACATAAATAACTCAAGATATTACGGAAACCGATTCATAAGGGACGTAAATATGCATAGCCTATGTACAGTTCTCATTGTCTCGTAATTATTTAGATCAGTTACAGAGCTGAAATGTATTCGGAGCAAAGCAAACCTCGGCCACAAAAAGACGGCACAAGATAATGCCAATTGTAAAGATAACCACACTTTCAAGGCGTTAATGTCACACATAAGTGAAGGCGTCAAAGCGTCATAACATGCACGATCATAATTCATTCCCGTGTCGCCTTCCATTCTAACTACTCACTTAGAAGAAGAAAAATGTGCAATGCCATTTTATAGCCCAGGACAGTGGGGGGAAACCACTGTCATCACATTAGCCCCCCCCGTCTTAACTCCTCTAAAACCCCCACGTCAGTCAGGAGTTCTTCATAATTTTTTTCAGGACAAATCACTGCCAGTTTGCCTTTTTGTTAACTCAGCTGACTGCATATGTCAATAAAGCAACACATACCTCGCCGTAGACAGTGATAGAGAAAAGAAGGACAGCAGCAATAGAGAGGATCCCGCTGATATCCATCCTGTCATTGACTACACCCAGCACAACTGTCCCATCATCGCTGTCCGCGGGCACACAGGGAAAGTGGGACGCCTTTTCCTGCCTCAAATTGTTTGCAAATGTAGGCTATGTACGGAAGAAGAAACCTCGAAAATGATGAGACGGAACAAAACAACATCATGTAAACTTCAAAAGTCCACCGACACGACTGACACCCTGACTGAGCTTTGCGTTCAGTATATGAGGTGACACTGAAAGAAGAGACGCCGCTCCAGCAGCCTTCAACACGTTACAGATGATTATAGGACATAAACATTTATGGATCACAGTGCGGAGTGGTTGGCCCCTTATGGCAAGCCGTTTTAACAATTATTCCTTTAAGCGAACTAGCATCTGCTTTTGTTACTAATCCTTAGTTTTAATTGGAAATCCAATAGTGACTATCTTCTGCAATTTCACTAGTAACTATTGAGTTTTGTTTTTACTAGTTTATAAAAAGCCAACAAAATGTTTATTTTGCGGACAAAGGTTAAATAAATAAAAACAGTAAAGAAAAGAAAACCGCTTTACTGCCAATTTAATTCATTAATAGCATTGAAGGATTGGGCCAAACAACTTTGCGCAAAGTTTGTAATTGGCATCATTCTAATAGTGATCACCTATGGCAAACATAAAGTTAAAACATGTTAGAATAGCACTAAAATTGAAAAAGAACGAAAATTCACCCTTCAAAATGCATGTTATAGATCTTATTGTGAGCTATTCATCTGTTCATTGTAATTCATCATGTTTCTTTTTGACCTCATCAAAATATCATAACTGGATCTTCCTGTGAAAACGACACGTCTCTCTTTTGGCATATGCAGGACTTCTCCAGTCATTTACTCCGCTTAAACGTGGGGGAAGTCATGGCCTAATGGTTAGAGTCAGACTCGTAACCCAAAGGTTGCGGGTTCGAGTCTCGTACCGGCAGGGATTGTAGGTGGGGGGAGTGAATGTACAGCGCTCTCTCCCACCTTCAATACCAAGACTGAGGTACCCTTGAGCAAGACACCGAACCCCCAACTGCTCCCCGGGCACCGCAGCAAAAATAGATGCCCACTGCTCCGGGTGTGTGTGTGTGTTCACTGCTGTGTGTGTGCACTTTGGATGGGATAAATGCAGAGCACTAATTCAGAGTATGGGTCACCATACTTGGCCACATGTCATGTGAAAAAATAAATAAATAAATAAACCCTGCCAGCTCAGCTCATGTTCATCTGCCTCTACTTTTGAGTGGAAAGTCCAAAATCCAATTAACTGATGAATAGAACCATGCCCTCGCCCTAGGTTTTTTTTTTTCTGAAACTCTCTTACACTTGGATGCAAGTTAAGATAGGAAAGAAAAGAGCTGTCACTACTTCAGTTTCATCACAACTTTCAAAGACTGTCAAACTACTTGTAGGATTTTTCCCTTACAAGAATTGCAGCCTTTTAATAAGATTTTAATGAGAAAAAAAACAGTAAAAAAAACGTATAACTAATTTACGAGGTGAATTCGTACAATGCGATTTGTACAGAAACATTACATTTTTAGGAAAAAGGTAAGCATTAAGTTCCACCCCCAAACCCAACCGTCAGTAGAGCATAAGCAGACCGTACAAAAATGTACAAGTGATATTGTATGAATGCATATAATTTAGCCACCAATTTGTCAAAACGCAAATAGCTATGAATTGTCATGAGCGTGTATCATACAGGACTTATTTCAATTCAGAAATTTAAAACATATCCATCATATAATAAAATCAAGTTATTATCTGCATGAAATGCTTTTTGAATAGATTTTTTAATAACTCAACAGACTCTTGTACAGCACCCCCCAAAAATGTGCCTAAAGCTTAAAAATAGAAAAGACAGACCTTTTGCGGTCACATAGCAAATATGAAACGGACAGACAAGGAATTATTTTCCATAACTCCTGAAAACTCCCTAACATAGGACAAAGGGCATGTGTTGATAAGGTGGATATTATTAACCACTTGGACAATCTTTTAAATGTCTTGGGTTTTATGAATATCATATGAAAAAGAGGCTCAGTATACAGGTGTGGTTAAGCTCACCTTGTCTTGCATTGTTCACCTGTGTACACAGACACTTGAATACACCTCATTCCACATTGTTCACCATTCATAGCTTCAATAGAAGTTAACAATACCTGAATCACATACTCATAATTTAATAAAAGATCAAAGTCTCCTTTTAACCTGAGCACAACTACACACGTTATTCATATGATAAACATAATTCTCCTATACTTAAATTCATTCATCTATAGGATCAGTTTATTTGTGTCCAGAATTGAGTTGGTCTACATGTTTTCTAATCTTGCTAAGAGATGGATTTGGCCTCTACATCATTCACAGATTACGTCATACATGAAATATAAGAATTTGTAGATTTGATTAAAACAACCATGTTTTATCAGGCATCAAGGAGCTATAAAAACAAGTGATAATAGTTTTATCTCTTATCTGATGCCCAGAGGAGTGGCTGCATTGTTTGGCATTCATCCACACTCTGTTCTGGGGTGTTAATCTGGTTTATACACATGCTCAAGGAACTGAAGACTGGAATGTCTTACTGTATATAACATCAAATGCCTAGTAAACATAGCAGGTTGAGGTCAAAGGTCATCACTGCCACCATAACGTATTTCAAATTAAATCTGAGAGGCATTGACATGGTAGCACCTTTTTGCATAGCTGTAGCTGTCTTTTCCTAAAGTATTTTTAGCTGTTCATTGTTACTTCATTTATTTTTGAAGTTTGTGCTGTTGACAACTGTGCAAATTTGCAATGTCGTGATTGAGCAAAGTTTAGACTTACAGCAGACGGCATTTCCTTTGGGGTCTAAACACATTACGCTGCAGACAATTATAGATAATCAGCCTAAGTTAATGGTGGACAGTGTTATCACAGGATGGCTATGGTTAAATTGCATTAAGAGAACTAAACCAATTCATGGTCACAAAGTTTATCAATGTTTCAAATCAAACAAAACATAAATAACATCGGAACAGAAAGTGCATTATTTGTAAGTTAATATGTTTAATAATGAGTTATTTCTATCTTTATTCCAGAGCCCTCATGGTCAAATTCAATACAATTTATCCTGGCATGTAACGTGATCCGGCACTGAGTACTTCTCCCTTGATCTCCATTTTCTGATAATTGAAAATGGCTGAGACTTATTATATTGTGGACACAGCATGCAACAGGAAAAAATAAAAATAAAAAATGTAAAAAATAAACTGCTGGGTTTTACAAGTCACAGCTCAGTTATGCAGGGGAGATTTAGAAAAGTAATACGACAACATTCAGATTATCCAAGAAGTAACATTGGTATAGTCAAACATCAATAACATAAATTACTAAATTATTACCCAAAAATGAAAAGTCTATCATCATTTACTCACCCTCACGTCATTACAAATCTGTATGACTTTCTTTCATCTGCTGAACACAAAAGAAGACATGAAGATGAGGAAAGGGTGACAGATTTTCATTTTTGGGTGAACTATCCCTTTAAGTGTGTGAAGGGATCAGTGTTTGTTCCTTTGTACTGTTTTGATGAGATGACCTACAGGAGTGCAGTAATGTAGTAATAACCAAAAGTGCCTTCAAAACCTCGCGAACGCAGTTCATTTGCTTTTGTGAGCATCCGCTGATGTGCTTTTGGCAGACTTCATTGCGGGTTTTTTTTTTTCTTTTCTTTTTTTAGAAAACCTTTCCACACCCTGTTCTCATCAACTGCTCGGCCCAGTCAGATACACTCAGACTAAAGTCCTCATCTATACAGCTCAGACAATAAAAGTGTCCATTCTTTGACTAATCTGCGTTAGTGGTCCTAGATCTCACTGCTCAGGTTGGGAAATCGTTTTAATAAGGTGTTGGCTTCTTTAGGCAAAAGTCGACCCTGGGTTTCCTGCTTTCCTTTGGCCTTGTTCTGCCCCTGTAAGAAGTGAAATTAGGAAACAATGTTAAATAAAAATAACTATTGCATTTAAGATTCAAAGGCTTTAAGAGAAGTCATTCCAACCAGCTTTCAAGCTGTAGAGGAGACACTTAACAGAAACTTGATCACACTAGATGTGTGAGGATGCCATAAACAGGAAACTGCATTGCAAAGTGGGAAGTGTGTTCGCCATAACCTGGCAGAGAAAATCTATCTGGTTGTACATCCTAATTACCCATTCCCATGCATTCATCAAAACCATGTTAATTAAAGGGATAGTTCACCCAAAAATGAAAATTCTGTCATTTAATTACTCACCTTCATGTCGTTCCAAACCCGTAAGACCTTCTTTCATCTTCAGAACACAAATATAGAACAAATATATTTGTGATGAAATTCGAGAGCTTTCTGACCCTGCATAGACAGCAACAGACCTATTACGTCCTTACTACCTTTCTGGGCCTTGAACGTGTCAGCTGCTTTGCTGTCCATGCAGGGTCAGAAAGCTCTTGGATTTCTTAAAAAAATATCTTAATTTGTGTTCTGAAGATGAACGAACGAAGGCCTTATGGGTTTGGAACGACATGAGGGTGAGTAATTAATGACAGAATTTTCATTTTTGGGTGAACTATCCCTTTAAGGATGTTAAACTACTGTCAGCTATCAGTAGGCTGTTTTACAGAGGATTTCCTGAGGACTGAGAGTTACCTTTTCAACACATGCGTAGAAGACTGAGACTTCTTTAGAACAGACTGTGTTGTTGAAGTCATTCTTTTTCCAGCAAGCCATCAGCAATGACATTTCCGTTACACAGGTGGCCTCTGTAACAAAGAGTGTGTATCACCATGTAAGAGTTCAGCAAAAATAATGCATTACAACAGCCCTTCGAAGTTGCCTTAAAAAGCAAACCAGCATCATTTGTATTTCCTGTCCCATTTAGAGAAGCAAAAATAATTTTTGTGCATGCTCATCATTTTACTTTAGCCAATCAGTTACTTTTCAAAATGGAGACTGAGTGACACTAAGGTATTTTTAATGAATGTATAAGTGCTAAAATGTATCTTTATGCTTAA